TCACCGAAAAGTGTAGGTCCTTGAAATGCAAAATTTCAATCCGGCTTACATGAAGGGGTGGACGGACGGACGTACTCCGGACAGATGATTTTGTTAGAACCAAAATTTCTTGGATGCAAAAATAACAAAGTTTTCTTACCCATGATGCTCTGCTACGCGTGTGAGAGCTCCGCTATCACTCAGGCCTAAGGGCTCAGGCAATCGTGCAAGATGGGATTACAGTAACCAAAAACATCAAAAGGACAAACAAATTTGGGGCTATTCTTCAAATCCAAGGAGCACTTGTAGAATTCAATGAAACTGCCTGATTTAAAACTACCATAACACTAATAATTATTATTCTCAAATTATCAAATGGGTAGACAAGTGGTTCATGTAAACTTTTGCATCATCTTTTGTGAACAAATTGAGTCAGTTTTTTGACAACTTGCGTACCGTATTTGAGTAAGTACTCAACCTCAAATTAGCACCCATCCTAAAGGCAGAAAAAGTTAATAAGCACCCAGCCTCAAATAAGCGCCCGATAGCAAAATCCACCAGCCCCAGGCTATCGGACACTACTTTCTTTGCACACTGATTTATTGCACAAGCAGTTTGGGCAAAAGCTGAGAACAAAAGATAATGTAAATGTTAGGTTTACATGAAGCTCTACAACAATGGCAAGTTGAGAGTATTATGGTATTTTGGTGGCCATCTCAACCACGCCTTGGATCATGAAGTTGTCTTTTAACCCTAATTAAAAAGGGTTGTTGAAACCTTTTAATACTAACCTTTGGAACTGGGTCCAGCCTGCTTTTTCATGTATGAAACTATACCCTCTAGAAAACAAACAAACATGTAAGCAAAAAGGTGTATTATTTCATAAATTTTCTACTACGTGGCAAACAGCAGAACAACAAGACTAGGTGTTATTCTGTGTAATTTGAGTAAGCTATGTTCCTACAGCTGAACATGCCTGGTCAAATTTAGCATAACTTATGTTCAAGCAAAGCCTACCGGAGCTTTCACTCTTATCAAGGGCTTCTTTGATTCAACAAGCACCATCCAATAATGAATGTGGTGTTCCAGGTTGGTGAACCATGTTAAACAAAATAATTTCTAACTGTAGTGTTACTGTCTGAGCTCAAAATGTTGAGCTCATTAGTTGCTGGGGATTGCAATTGTAAGCATAAAAATAAATTAATAAGTCAACTGCTTTGAGATTCCATCCTCAACACATTCAAAAGATGACTTGATACTGTGTGCCATACCACAGATGAAACTCCCCTAAGTAGAGACACTGGGGACTGCAAGTGGGTAGAGGAACAAGATTTTGATTGCCAATTTTTGGGGTTAAATTTACATAGTTTTTTGCTTTTTTCCTCTGGTCTTGACTGAATCATGTTCATTCTGACCTGGTTTTAAAAAGTTCTTTTTCCCCTGCACAAGTTAGATGACAAAATGGTCCTTGATCATTACTGATGATGTCACAAGCAGTACAATGGACATGGATCAGCACTGGTGGGCCGGGGATGGGCCATTCAGGGGCGAATGGGTTAACTTACTTGCTTCCCTTGGACCATCATAATCCTTGGACACCTCTCCATTACGGAAAATTTTTAGTGTTGGGTACCCACTAACGCCATGTTTGCCGCAGGTCTCTTTTCCACCCTCTGTACAGTCAACCTGAAAGGGTGATATATATTGTTTCTTTACAGTGTAACACAAAACAAAGGATTTTTTTAGTAGCTAACACATCTGAACTATCAAGTCTCCTAGCCACCACTGCTCAGCAATAAAATGGTCTCACACAAACTGAATGTAAGGTTCTCTTCAATTGCTAAGTCACTTTGCCTTACAGAGCATGAAATGACACAAGCGAAAACACACCTAAATTTTCAACACTGAAACTATTAAACTTTTACAATAACATTAGTCAACACATTGGCTACAAGAATTCTTCATCACACCTTAATTGAATACCTTCTGAATAACTTAAATGTGCAAAACGACAGACGTCTAAATGTCTTTATTTTTGTCACAGAAATTCAGCATGCAGAAAATCTGGGTCTGAAAGTCACCTTGGATTTCACATATAGGTACATGGTACAAACACATGTGATCCCTTGTAGTGTCACCTTAGTTTACCTTTAGACAGATACTGACTAGGATCACCTATGATAAAAATTTGTAATTCTGAAGAGTCTAACAAAAGTTGGGGGTACTCTAGATTCCAAGTGACGTGGGGAATGGAATGGAGGCAAAAATCACAACCATCAAAAATACCTCAGGGATTCCAACAACCCCCCCCCCCCCCCAAACAGAGCTGTGTGACTGAAGGTAGGTGTCCCTGATTGGAAATAATTAAACCTCAGTTCCCTTTGTCTCCTGGCCCTAATATTAATGAAAAGGAAACGAAAGAAATTGGGGAACAACCTGGGTTAATACCCTGACAAATCTCATTTTGACCTATGACATAATTCATACATGGGTCTATATAGGACTACTGTCTTGTAAATAAAGGGTATGATTTTAAAGCAATTTCGCCTGGGACAGGGTATAGAGCATTTTCATATGATGTCACTGCGACCATATAGGTGTTCAAACCATAAATCGAAAGTCATGTTGGTGTCCCAAACCAATCCTGTGGGAGTTGAACTCTTTTCTTCTGTGAACACATTCTTTTGTTCCCATAAATTTGCATAGATGCTGGTCATGTGAGTGAAAACTCACTATGGAACTCAAAGGATTATGGTCTAGATTAGTGTAGATAGTTGACTGGAGAGACTATCCCTCATTGCTCTTCACAATCCCCCATTTTTATTTACACTTTCTCTATTCTTTGCTTAACTTGTGCTCCACTATCTGAACCCCTGAAATAGGCTACGTTAATAGGGGAATTGCCATAGCACCACTTACCGCTAAAAGTTAGTCTGGGATAGGTTAGCTTTGGATCTGTTTTTTAGGGCTAGTTCCTCTATACACATCTTAAGGGTGAGCCACGTTTTGGGCTAAAATTTGTAGAAGAACACCAAAGATTTGAGTGGAGAGTCTTAACTTCTTACCCCCTATCATCACCTGACACAAATAAATAATGGCCTGTCCCTCTTTACCCAACACAAATTTGAAATCACTTTTAAGTTTATTCAGCTGTCCAAGGGTATTTTAAAAAAATTCTAAACAAACTTCAGCCTTAATCATCTTAAGTATGATTGAAAAATTAGAGCAATTAGTATTTTACGTACAGAGAACCACATGTGAAGCCAGGCGATGGATGAAATAAAAATTTAAGATCTGAAACTACAGCTGAAGACCTTAATACCTTGGCGAGTGGTACTGGTGGATCATTTGCCTTCAATTTAGTGGCAGCGTCTTCGTACTCAGGAGCTAGTCTCTTGCAGTGTCCACACCTGTAATGTACAACGAAGTAGGAATAAAGACAATTTACGTTTACCCGGAAAGACCAGATGAAAAAGCTAATAGAAAGTTGTTTCCGCTACATGACAGTAAGCTGAAACGTTTTGTAAATTTTTACCATGGTGCAAAGAATTCTACAAGCATGAGGTCCTCTTCTTGTGTCCTGGATTTGAAATCGTCATCGCTGAGTTCGATCACATCGGAGGACTCGGCGAAAAACGCTACGTTTGCAAATAAAATCACTAAAAGAGTTCTCATAATCATGTTGTTTCTACTAGAGCACAACTTTCAGGTGAAAACAGATCGAAAACTTTAGATACACGTTGGAAATGTACATGTGATAACAAACGGACAAATAGGCATTTCACAATGGAGACCATGTTGGCGCGCTCTGATTGGCTTCCACCATACACGTGTTAAGCAAATGATTGGTGGAAAAGTGGGAAATATGTAGTAAGTTTGAGGAAACTGCTAGGAGACGAGACGAGAATAACTAATCGGGAAGAAATATACGGTCACTGAGAACTACAAATGCAGAACAAAGTAAAAGAAAGGGCTGCAGATTTTTCCTGAAGCTTAAGCACTGACAGGAATTCCAGTGCATTTCCACTCAATATACATACATGTATTTCAACTGCCATAAATTCGTGCAACGGCGTTTTTACAAGTGAGTTTATTTTTAGAGAAGCTTTTCCCTGTTCCTGGTTCTCAGATAGTAGGGATGACGCGTAAGTGAAAGGCAGGCGAATATATAAGCGTGTAATCTGAAAAAATGCTTTCCACTCTGCCGAATAGTTTTCCGAAAATTTTGGTTGATATGCATATTTATTATATGGAGGAGAGTGTTTTACTGGGAACTAAACCACTCGTAGATTCCATACGCCACTTCATCCGGGACCCGAGTGGCGTATTTTCCGTATGTCACCTTTGTCCCAGTAAAACACTCTCCTCCATATAATAAATAGAGAATATATAACACGGTGGCGAGAAGATATGAATTTTATGTTCGAGTGGCAAGAACAATATCTCACTCGTTCGCTTCGCTCACTAGTGAGATATTGTTCTTGCCACTCGAACATAAAATTCATATCTTCTCGCCACCGTGTAATATCCTCTATATATACTCTTCAGTCCACCTCCAGAGGTAATAGGACAATTGCACGATGACGATATTTGACAACAACTACCAGAATTCATTTCGGTTTTGCTTTGTTATTTAAATTTGTCAATCCCGCTGAGGATTAAAGAACAATAGCCTTAATTTGCACAAGAAAACAACAAACTCAAGGATTCTGGTAGTTGGAGTCAAATGACGTCATCGTGCAATTGTCCTATTGCCTGGTCCTATCCCTTCGATAAGCAAAAAATTCTCGCTTCCAGACCTTCCAGTCCCACTTCAATGACAATTTAGAGTACGAGTAGTCCCCATTTTTCCTCCGGGATAGTAGAGGGAGCGCGCGTGAAATCATTGAGATCACCCCAGGTGATTTTCACGCGTGCGCGCTCGCGTTTCTCTCGCTCTAGTTTAGATCGACTTTTTATCCCTTTACTGTTGAAATTCACTGTCTTTTCAATATGAATAACTCACGAGACTAGAACGTTTTCCAGTCTTTGTCACAGCCTTAAAACGCGTCTGTTAGACCTCAGTTTCGACTTTTTATTGACCCAAAAGACAGATATCAACTGGTGAAATCCCGGCCTTTTCAGTACCTGCCAGCCGATAGACACCTTCTCGGGCAACCTCGTCCCCAGGGCTTTCCCTGCTTCTCGTGCTGTAAGCCGAAAAGGAGTCTGTTCTCCCAGGATAACAATCGGGCGGAGCTCCCGGGTTTAGGATGTATTACTAGAAGCCCTCGGGTACTCTACTATTCGAACGCCTGAAACATGGCTAGGACCGAATGTTATAATTGAATCATAGAAGTCAGTACTGCTGCATGTTGGAAGCCCAAAACAATCCTGGCTCCATCTTAATAACATCTAAGACAAAGAATTTGCTGAGGCTTTTTGAAGATTTTAATAAGCAAAATGTTATTGCTGAACCCACCCGCATAACTTATACCACAAAGTCACTGATTGATCTTATTGTTACCACCAAGGTGGATGTTGTGCGATGCACAGGAGTAATGCCACTTGGTATATCCGACCATTGCCTAGTGTATGCAACGCTTAAATTGGGCAGCAAAAGACCAACGCCGAAGATTATTCGCACCAGAAACTTTAAAAAATTTAATGCAGCGAATTTTAAGGCTGATATTGAAAAGATTCCTTTTCATATCTTGGAAATTTTTCATCACAAAGACGATGCGCTCTGGGGGTGGGAACAATTGTTTAAAGATGTATGCAATGCTAGATCACGCCCCGTTTAAGGATGTGAAAGTGAAAAGTATGTCTGCTCCGTGGATTAACAACACAATTAGGCACAAAATGAATCGCAGATTTAAATTATTCAAAGAGGCAAACCGGACAAAGGATCCTAGCAAATGGGCTGCATATAAGAAACTTAGAAATGAAATCATCGCTGATATACGCAGAGCCAAGGCTAAGCATTTTAAAGATCTATTAGCTGATGTCAAAACCACTGCAGAGTATTGGAACCTGCTTTCAAAGGCGAATAACCCTAAATTAAGGAAATCGATAGGTCCATTGAAAAGAGAGGACGGATCGCTCGCAGTTGATGACAAAGAAAAATCAAACCTAGTCAACAATTTCTTCTCTAACATCGGAGAGAAACTGGCTGACAGTTTCCAGCCCCAGTATCTATCTCACCAGGCCACGTCAACTAAGATTGTTCCCTGTGTCAATAACATTGCACTATCGCCTTTGGCCATTGAGAGAAAAATTAGCTAATCTCAAAACAAATAAAGCGTCAGGACCCGACGACATATCACCGAAAATAGTCAAGGAAGCTGGAGATGCATTGCTATCCCCGTTGATGTTCCTTTACAATATGAGTTTGAAAGATGGTTACGTCTTTAGCCAGTGGAAGACTGCGAGAGTCAATCCTGTTTGTAAAAAGGATGACGAGACTGAAATCGGAAATTATCGCCCCATATCTCTTCTCAGTGTTCCGAGCAAAATACTCGAAACCATTGTTGCTGATTCGATCATTCACCATGTGTTTATTGAAAATAGATTAATTACAGACCAACAATGGGCTTACAGGAGAGGATATTCTACAGAGCTGTTGCTAGTATACATATGACAGAAATTTGGAGGAGTGCCATTGATTAAAATAAAGTTGTTGGTATAGTGTTGGTAGATTTCCAGAAAGCGTTCGACGGTGTCTCCCATAATGTGCTATTACGTAAATTAGAAAATGATTTTGGAATTAATAGAATAATACTCGACTGGCGGCGCAGTTACCTTGACAATAGAAAACAATATACTGTCCTAAATGGTATAGCATCAGATCTAAACACTGTTAAATCTGGAATACCGCAGGGTTCCGTTCTAGGACCGACCTTATTTTCTCTTTACACAAGTGATTTACCTGAAGATATAACCACTGCGACAACCTACATGTATGCTGATGACACTACCCTATATTGCATTGGCGATTCTATCGACGCAGTAATTTCTGAACTTAACAAAGCTTTGGAAGAGCTTCTATACTGGTGCAAAACAAACTCCCTTGTGCCTCATCCAAAGAAATGCGAAGCAATGATCCTCCATCGTGGAAGATTCACTGGCCCATTGAAAGAGTTAACGTTGGCCCAGTACACCATCAAATGGGTTGCACACTCTCGTTTATTAATTAGGCGTATTGATAGATGATCAACGAAACTGGTCTAAACATGTTAGTGTTGTTAAAAAAGGCTTTGTTGATAAGTTAAACTTGATAAAACGTAGCAAATTTCTTCCAAAGAATATGTTATTAGACTTGTATTTTAGAGTTATTATGCCGTCGATCGTATATGGTATATCAGTATGGGGAGGCCTCACAAATAAGGAAGGTTTTAAGGCATTAGAAGCACTGCATTGTATAGCCGCGATATTTATCCTTGAGCTACCTTGGGAGATATCTAATGCAGATGTTATGAAAAAGGCTAATTGGTCTTCTTTACCCTTTATGTATAAAATTAGCTTAGCTAAGCTTATGTATAAAATCCACAATAACCTGACTCCAGACGCTATGTCAGCTATTATTAACAACAATGATAACATCAAGCGATATCAACTTAGGAAGAAACTGAAAATTGATGTCCCTCGTTTTAACACCAACTACATGAGGAACTCTGTGGCTCGTAGAGGAGCAATAGTTTGGAACACGTTGGTTCCTCAACTTAATGACGATATAGACAATGTTAAGAAATATGCGATTATGGCAAGACGGTCAAAGGCTCTGCTACACCTAGATTTCGACTGTATCTCCCCTCAAACATTGACTAGAAGGGTCGGAAGATTTTAAGTATAATTAGTGTTAATAATTAGTCAATACTAGAGTACCACCTTGTACTTTAGAATCTTAAGCTTTTATCGTTTTAGACTTGTAAGTAGCTATATGATTTTAGCTGGTGTATATCCTATTTATTTTCTAATTCATTAGTTATCTTATTTAATTATTTAGACACGACCCCACAAGCGAAGCGTCGCTTTAAATACTTATCGTGTATAAATAAAGATTATTGATTGATTTGATTGAGTACGATGTTTATTCATTGATGGCAAAAAACAGTGTTGATAGAAGGAAGCTATGCAAGCCGAAGCAGTCTTCAAAGACCAAAACGTTAGGCTTCGAGCCCAAACAAACCGATCATCTAAATAAACATTGATAAAAGAACCAAAAGAATAGGAGAAGACTGAATTAACTGTTTTCAGTTTCAGCAACAGACTCTGCACCCTGTGGTTGTGAAAGTCTCAAGTAAAAAGAATAAAACGATCAATGAAATTAAAGAATATTGTTGCAAAGTTCAGTACAAGGATATCAGCATGTTAATAAAAATTTAGAACTTAAGTTATTTTTGTAAGTTAGGAATCTGCTGAATGAAACAGGTAAAACAATTTTCTGGTCGACCATCTTATAAGGTGGGGATGAAGAAATCCTTCTCGATCTCCTGCCGCGTTCCCTACTTACCGTCAGATCCCCAACGCCAGACAGGTACTTTTGCATTAGCCGAGCCCGGGATAGTCTGCTACACAGCCGTTTTTAGTTTCGTCCAACCTCGTCCCCAGGGCTTTTCCGAGGGAAAAGCCCTGGGGACGAGGTTGAGTTTCGTCACGCAACTTGTGGGGAGGATCGTTGCGTGACGAGACTAAAAACGGCTCATAGCAGACTAGGTCCAGGGGGGGTACTCCTGGGAATTCTCGGTGGGGGTGTGCCGCCCGGTTCTCCAAATCCTGACCCTATTTCAGACCAATGAAATGTCATTTTCCACACCCGTTTTCAGACCTGGAGGTGGTCACAAAACGTAACATTACATGTTTACATAAAACAGAAATTATGTGATCATTAGAGAGATTAAAACAGCAACAAAAATATTTCTTAAAATCCATTTCGAATTCGCATATTACACTCAGTCTTTTCCTTCATTTGGAATGGAAACGACGAACACATATATTGATACACAACCGTAGTTCGTTCGTAAACCATACCCGATTCCAGACTGGGCCCGATACCCGTTTTCAGAACAAAACGGGGCAAAAACCCTACCCTTTAGGGCGGCACAAACCTCTATTATATGGCTTATTTACGGGAGTACCCCCCCCCACTGATTAGGGCCTAATGGGTGACTGCCGAATCTCTCTTTTCATTAACTGCTGTATGTTGGAGGACAAACACTACAATGAGAATCCCAGAGAATTTTACGTGCATTACCAGTAGCCAGAGTCTCGTGTCATATAAATGCTCTCAACCTCATTCCCAGGGTTCTGGGAACGAGGTTGATATGCCCTCGAAGAGACAGGCGGCGAAATTAACGACCCTTTTTCGGAGTTGCTCAGTGCTTATTTTGCGGAATTTGACCAACACTTGGAAGACACGCTACTCGGTCATCAGAGCGGGTCTAACTGGACAGGATGGAGAAGAGAAGACAAATTCGTGGGAAGCTGGGCTTTACTATATTTTGGAACCCTTACGCATGCGCCAGGTGGATGTAATCAGTCAAGACTTTGCAACTTACTCGCGCCGTTTTCTCACTGAGAATTATTCGATTTGCATATTTCCCCGTAGTGAAGGCAGCATTCGTGGAAACGTCACATTTTGTCTTAATTACCAGGGTTTGACTAAGAGTGGACTCATTTGCACCTGACAGGTGTTATAGTCACCGCTAATTTCTTCTTCTTATTATTATTGATTAATGCTGATATTTCACAGCAAAACCTGGCCTGAATTTCATCCTATTACTTCGAGTCGTTATTATTCTCTCAGTTGTTGAGAGGAGAAAACGACTCGAAGCAATCGGATGAATTTCAGGCTAAGCAAAACCGTCATTTGTGGTTTTTATCTCTTAACAGTCTCAATCAGGAGCCTCTTTAACTTGTAAGTCAAAAATGCTATTTAGAAAACGTCTTCATGTTTAATCCTAGCATTTTTCTTAATGCTTTTATCCGCTTAGTATTATAAACTGTACGGAAGCTTACCTCCGAAGTATGTGTGTTCGCGTGACTGCCGTCAGGACTCTGCGAGTTTCCGGCACGTTCTAGTCAGCACGTCTGCATGGACGAATGACGTGGGGCGATCGCACGCGCGAGAAGAGTTTGCGTAAAGCACAAGTTTTATTAGTTGCGTGTTTTTTACATAAAGACGATTCTTTTTCATTTAGTAATTGCCAAAAAGGGACAAACCCCCAAGAGAAGACCCCAAACTTGCGATTCTTCCCTGAAACTGAAACCGGGAGTGAGTTAACAGCGTTCTAAACTTTTTCAGTTCTTGATTTTCCGATTTTGAAAGAGTTTCCCTAGAAAGTTTCTTCCTTCCGCTCTCATTCTTAATTTTGTTTTAATTTTAGTTGATTGAAAAGCGCCCACCAGCTCTTATCATGAAACAAAATAAAAGTATCTTGATTCAAGTGGGGTTTGAATTTTACATAATTAGAGGCACTTTCAATAGTTATAAGTACTGAGTGCGCGCGGTGCGCGCGCCTCTTTCTCCCTTGCGCCGGTAATTTAAGTAGTTATCAAAGCCGGAAAAACAGAAGTTTTGGTCGATAAAAACTTGAAGACCTTCCTACCGGTTATTGCTTTTAGTTACTGTATATGACTGATTGACAGAGTAGCTGGCCAGAATGCCGGCCTTTTACGCTGTTTACGTTGTTCCATGTCTGTTACAAATCTTTCAGATCACAGTTCCAAATTCGGAAAGAAGTAAATTTTTGGTCCGATAATTCTTTTAATCATAACTATAACAAAATTGTCAAATCTGATTGGCTGTCAACTGCCCTGATTTCAGCCTTAATTGGACAGTTTAATAGGACAGTACGCGTCATGCCTAAGCATAGTTAGTTACTAACTATGGCCTAAGTAATTGGACAGTACGCGCCATCACGCGCGCGCTTAAATGGCTCTTTTTTTTTCACTGCTAGCAAAACAAAATTTCGAATTTCTTGTGTTTTGGTTTAAAAAATAGCCTATTGTATCACAAATTTTGTTAAAGTTATGATTAATTGGTAACAGAACTTCGTGTCGTCCAATTCAGTCTGTAATCATACTCGTGATTAAACAAATCGGACTCCCGCTACGCGGTCGTCCGATTTTGTTAATCACTCGTATGATTACAGACCGAATTGGACTCCACTCAGTCCTGTTACCATTACTAACTTTGACTTCCGATTTATATCCTTTGTTACCCGGGGTATATTATGACCTAGTGGACTCCTAGTGGTCTTGTTTACACTTTCTAGTTGCCAAAGTAAACAACGTGTTCGTTGTCACGACTTCAACTGGAGAACAAATCATCCAAGTTATTACAAAACTCGAAGCATTATTGTTAGCGTATGGGAAAATAGATGTGTACCGTTTTCTTTATTTCATTCATTCTCTATTCACTTTAATTTATTAGTTTTTTGAAAGAGAACGGGAGAAAAGAAACGCAAAAGGGACTCCCGGTGCAAAAACGTTACATAAAGAGCACAACACAATCACTCAATTCGGACGGGAAGTATGTTTTCCCTGAGATCTAGTGTTTTAAAAAATACAGGACGTTTTTATACGTAAGCTTTTTTTATTATTTTTCTCTTCAAGAGAACTAGAATATGTCTAAACGGTAGACTAGGGGTGCTTACCATTTGACGGAAAATTTCGGAAATTCCGGATGGAAGGTAAATGGTAAGGTCACTTTTCGGAAATTCCAACCGAAAATTGAGGACTACGTATTGAGGTAGTCCTTTCATTCCGGTTGGTACGAACCAAACGGAATGTTGCTTACCATTAACCAATTTCTCAGTTCCTTCTCAGTTCCAGACTCACGCGACACAAATTTACCCTTTTTTTGGATTCAAACCGTAACGGATATGGCATTTCTACGGTAAACTGGCAAATCGCTTACCATTATGCTTTCGACACCCCAACCGGATTTTTCTGTCAAATGGTAAGCACCCCTGATGTCACATAGAAGATTGCGAAGTGTTAGAGTGTTACTTTCGTACGCGACATGTCATTGGCTGTTGAAGAGAAGGTATCAAATGAATAAAACATTTATAAAATGTTTTGTGATTGGCTTCTCGGAAGAGAGTTGTGAATCCGACTCTAGCTCTAGCGCCCAATATTGATTGTCTGCGCTGTAAATGCGTTGCATATTAGAAAATTGTAGGGGAGCGTTGAAATTTCATTGACTTGACGGAAAAGTGCCTTGTTAAGGCATCAGTTTTACCTCACAAACTATCAGAGTGATCATTTCAGCGTTTGTCGTATCACAGAGGGATCTTCTTTGGCTTTTATCGAAGTACGCTTGCACCAAATTTTGTTGACTGGGATGCCGCCATTATAGAAAGTGCAAGACAGGCTTTTTCATGGTTCCTTTCCGTTTCATTTACCTTGAAACTCCACCGCTTTGCTGAAGTGTAGCTGCAATTAATTGCAACCAACCTGGATCCGTTAGACGAATTCGACACGTCCAAAATGGACGATTTTAACGATGATGGTAGGTGGCTATTTATACATCAGCTGCATGTGTTGCAGTGTTGGCGACGAAAACCAAGAACATGGCGTTACTTTTTGTAGAGAGAAAATTAAATTTGCCTGTTTGTTGTTCAGATGACGGAATGCCCGACAAGTCCTCCCACGGTCGGCTAAGGAAGAGAAAAGCAAACCAAAATTTTGTAATCAAGGAGTAAGTACAGACTTTTGTTAAACTTAAATAGACGAACAAAATTCCGTTGCTTCGCTTTGCATTATCCCTTTTCTTTGAATTTTCTCTGTCTTTCCTTGCCTTAACTTAAATGTTTATGTTGCTGTTCAGAGAGGATTCGGATGACGATGACATTGAGGGAAAGGGAGACCACAAAATGCCCAGGTACGCACCTTACTTTGTAATCACGATTTCCTGTTCTCCTATCGATTGATCCTTAGGCTTAAAAACTTTCCAGCTTGTAGTGAGTGTCTTCAGCTGTTGTATTTCTTGAAACAGAACTTCATCGGTCAAATACTGCTCCGGCTGAGGTTGAATTATTTAAGTTTACTCATTTTCGATTGTTGTCTTTCTAGCTGGACATATAAACTTTTTCAGATCAGCACATACACAGAACCTGCCAATGTTTCATGAAAACGACTTCACTGAAAGCTGTAGTTTGTTTAGCAATTCGTTTATTTGCTAAGCATCAAAGAAACCTTTTTAATTTCTCCTGTTCATAGCAATCAACCAGATGATATTTCTACAGCGATCAAGTGAGCTAATGTACAATAATTCTTTTTTACAGAACGTCTGATGAGAATAACAAAGAGAAATTTGCAAGGTATTCAGTTTACGTTGTGTGATCACGTACGATTTGGTAGTTTTATTCCCGCCCCAAGGTTTTTGCAACTACTTCCAAGTAACATAGAATATACCAAGACCAGTTTTTACTATTTCTATTTTCATGTGTGTGACGTCTGACAATAATTATAATGTTCAATGTTTTCTTCTTTTCTTCAAAGAACACAAAAAATTGAAATTTTCAACGGTGGCACTTTAGTTATTTTCCTTTTTATGTGTTCTTTCTTCAAATAAAATACTTCTCTAACAGCTGTAAATTATAATACTTAATTAAGGTCTTTTTAAATATAAACTATCCTTTCTTGGTTTCAACCAAATACTATAAATATACATTTTGTTTGTCATCCTTTTCAAATCACTTCTTCTAAACTGACAAGTGACATTAAATGTAATGGTTGAGTAATCTTGCTCGTCACATCAAGGGTAAACCTCAATCTAACCTCTTGAATGTGCAGTTGTTACTGAACAGACGATAAAGGTGAAGCAAATACTGGTGTCTTATTTGTTTCATCTTCAGATGTTTCCATCATTAACTGTATTAAAAATAAATTGACAATTCCAAAACAAAAGTAATGTTATTTCCTTTTGCTCTTACGCCGTTTTCAACTTCCTTCCATGTGGATGCAAGTTTTCTGGGTGTCATTTTTCGACACAAAAATGAGTCTTATTAATGACAACAATCATCATATGGCAGTCTTGCTAGCTACGCCAGTGGTCCTTGTAAACTTATTTTTGCTCTTGGGTGACAGGAAAATTAATGTTACCTTTTACACACAACTTGACACGACTTATGTGCTGGCCGCCCTAGATTTCATAGGCTGAGAGGTTTTGAACTCCCTACAATTTTCCTTTGAGTACAGCCTTGACAATGCTAATTTTATTGTTAAATGTCTTGTAAGTTAACATTTTTGTTACGATAAAATGAACAGTACATTTGTACAATGCTTTTGTTTTGAGATGTGTTTTTTTTGTCATTTGCAGTGGCTTTATGGTAGTTTAGTATAGTTGTTGTGGTAAAATTTTTCCTTGGTATAAATGTCATTTTTTTTGTATGATGTTGCCTTTTAATGTGTTTTGATTCAAAGGAAAATAAAAGTCAAACCAAGTATAAAATTGAACTACACTTTAAGCAATACTATTTTTCACAGAACACTAATCATAAATGTAGGGAAGATTCACAATGTTGTCAGTAAAATGTTTCACAGAGAGACAAAAGTTACTTTGGTGAGAGTATGTTAAAGTGCCAACCAAATAAATCACAGACAACGGCAATACTTTGTTAATAAGCTGATAATAATATAACAGACATACTGCACCCCTTCTTTTCAATACTACAAATTTTGTTGTGATCCAAACTGCTAAATCATTGATGACCTGCTTCAAAACTAGACATTTGTCTGGAAAAGTCTTTCAACTGTCTTCTTGTCATGGTAGCAGTATACACTCTTGATTTATCATTGCTCTTTTTTCTTCACATGCCGTAGTAAAATCCCTTGTAATTCAACCACTGTTTTCTTGTGACATATGGTTTGTTTTTCATTAAAATAGTTTATCCTAAAGACAGCCAAATTTTGATTGACTGTTGACCTGTTTTGTTTGAAGACATGTTAAAAAATTGTTGTAATGTTGTTGCAATAGAAACAGATAACATCTAATTTTCTGGTTTGTACATGTCATCTGGGCAAAACAAAAAGTAATTTAAGTTGCCAAAAAAAAAATACATTTAGATTTTCTGTGAGCTTTTAATAGTGCGAGTATGAATTATAACAGCATGTTTACTTTTTATTTACATTGACATTATCTTGATACTTCTAAAACTAAAAACTTAATTAATAGAAATAGTGGTAGTACCAATAATAAAATAAATATATAAATAGGTATATTGAAGGATGTATTCATAAGCCATGATAAATACAATAGTCAGATTTATCTCAATAAGAACACTTAGCAACTCATTCCCATCCATGGTAGTTCAAAAGCAGATACCCTATTTAAGTGTCATAGACTGTCTGGAGGAGAATAGATTTCTTGGGTCGTAATGGCCTTCTGGTCTTGAGATGGGACTGATATTAAGCTTGCTGCTTGTCAGTGCAGGGACTTGTGCATCATTGTCAATCTGGCAAGTCTCAGCCTCGTTTCAAAACTCTGCCTTCCCAGTTGCTGTCAGGCATATTTGATATAACTTTTGTCTCTTTTATGTGTAATACATATTTGACCCTTTAGAGTAGAGGTTCTGTTGCATTTGAAGATTTCAAGTTGCCGGGTAAATACAACAAGTAGGTGGAGAATCAAACTGCTAGGCATTTCTTGTGGTTCTATTTTTCTTCTATTTTCCAATAAAAGTAGTAGATGTGCTTTTAATGAAACCCTGATTTTTTTCAAAAGTTACTGTGTTCCTTGCTTGTGTAGATGTGCTTTTACCAAGATTTTGCGGAAATGTTTTACAGGGAAAATCACAGTGAGATTGAGAGAAGACGGAGGAATAAAATGAATGCGTACATCAATGAATTGTCTGATATGGTACCATCTTGCAATGGGTTGGCAAGAAAACCAGATAAACTCACTGTTTTGAGGATGGCTGTTAACTACATGAAATCACTGAGAGGATCTGGTATGTATCTGTTTAACCCTTTAAACCCTAACATCAAAATTCAAATTCTCATTTGTTATCCCTATACGTTTTCAATAGAAGAAGTAGGGAGAATTTCTTGAAGTATCGGTAAGATTCATCTTGTGTGTTCATGTCCTTAATTCTCATGACCACTCTGTTTTATAAAGCAGTGACATTACAAGGAGAAATTTGACGCTGATCAGTCTTAGGGCTTAAAGGGTTAATAATGTTGTTATTATTTTGAGATATGGCAAAATATTAATGTCAATGGCAAAACAATACAAATTATTTTGACTTTGTCTTATTGTTCACATTATCATCTGTTTCTCACAGTTCTTGAAAAGTTATTCTACATTTGTAAACAGCTCAAGTATTAATGTTGTCCTACTGCAAGAATGATACAACTGCATTCCTATGGGTTTTCATGTGTTTTTGTTTGTTATTTATTATTAATTCCAGGTCAGACTCCTGATGTGTCTCACAAGCCATCATTTTTGTCTGATAAAGAACTAAAGCACCTCATTTTGGAGGTAAAAAATAAAAAAAGTGCATAATGTGAAAAAGTGGCATGGGCATCAGGGTTTTTAACAAGGCCAGGTAGTGGGCTGTTTGACCAGCTGTTAATGTAACATAACTTGCCCCTTTTTTGGTCGTAAATGTTTTTTACTCCAACCGTTTTCCCCTGTTTATTAAAACCTTCATGTTCAATACCGTAGTGAAACCGTTGATGCACGTTCTAGATGAATGCTTCAGAGTATGAGAAGAAAAATGCACTATTTTTTTCAGGTCTAAACACACGTTTTTCCTTTATGAACAGTTACATGTTGTTGGTATATCTGTTGAACTAATAGGAGCACCTGAAATATTTTAGGAATGTTTATTGTGATATGACCAATCGCAGGGAAGATCAGGACGTGTAAACAAGCCACAAAACCACAAACTATTACAGATGCTATTAGCTGTTTTTCCCATGCCTGATTTGTCTCTTTAATAGTTTTCTTGACTTTGTTTGGTGTGATGAATCAAAATCACATTCAACTTTGATTAGTTTATCTGCATTCACCTTGGCAGCCATTGGGTTTGGGGGATTGAACAGATTGTCGCAATTTATGTGTTTTAATGTTTGATTAACTGGTACTTTTTTAATTCTCAATCCTTTCAGGCAGCAGATGGATTTCTATTTGTGGTGAATTGCCGCACCGGGATTGTGGTTTATGTTTCTGACTCCATAACTCCAGTGTTAAACCAGCCTCAGGTATTGAAAAGTAACAATAATATTATTAACTGGTCATCTTCCTCTCTTCACTCTTAGTTTGACAATTATGTAAGGTGATCACTCACTGAGGTTTGGTCAGCAGTCAAGGCTTTGGCTTACGAATGATGCTTGTTATGTAAAGAGATTATAATGGAACTCTGCCATATCACCACTCCATCACTATGACTGCATTTTTCTGAGTCCCAGTAGTTATCTTTATAATTTGACCAGTTTAATTCCTGGTGGGAGCCAAACAGCCAATCTGTGAAACAGTAACTCTTTTGAGAGAGATGTTTATCCAGTCACAACCCTCCTAGTCAAAGTTTTTGCTTGGTTGCCTGGTTTAGGGAGACTTTTTTTCAAATCAAGTCTTGTAGGCACCGTTGTGACCAAAATGGTCGCAACTTGGAGGGTTGAGTCAGTGACACAGGCTGCTTGGAAGAAAAAAATCTGAGTGCTCCCAATAGGCTTCAAACCTATGACCTTCTGGTTACTAGTCCAGATGCTCTGCCACTGAGCTACAGGAGACTCATGGGATCTAAGACCACTTAGTCATTAAGAGAAAAACACTTAGCACAAGCCACGACAGGTAACGACATGCAAATGTAGTGGCCTGACCTCAAGAGAAAGGCTGCAAAAACACGCGAACCCTTGCAAAGCAATTAGAGCTCCCCCTCTACATGAGACTGCTGGCCAGCCATGTCTCGAGTTTGACCTAGCCTTATTTTCTTGAAGCCTCATTTAAGAGTCCTTAAGTTAATGTTGGTGGTATTTAGTGGTAGTTTGGTGTTGCTGTGGAGTTAGTGTGACTTCTGCTTCAGCCAATTTTGCACTCATTTTGGAATATTTGAAGTCAAGTTACACAACAAAAAAAGCAATGTTAAACAAGATTTAAAATTAATAGCAAACATGTGACAGCATTTGCTATCTCAGTGCATGGTTCTGGCACATATACCCTCTGTCATGCTGGAAACATGAAGTAGCCACAGCTTCATGTGAGAGTCCGCTGACCTCGAAAGACTCAAATCCATGATGATCATTGTTCGATTGATCTTTATTGTAGTTTAGCCTCTACCTGTACACAGGTGAGTAGTTCTTCAATGTAGGCTGTTTCAATCAAAGTGACTCCCTCCCTAACCTCACTGGAGTCATCTCAAAACTTTTGGTGTAAAATACGCCAAGTTTAGCATTTTTGTGAACCCTGCTCAGTGCCAGATTCAGACCTTGAGATAGGGGGTGAGGGGCGGTCATCCAGACTCTTAGAATCCGCCACTGCTGCTATTCATCTTACCCTTCTGTTGTATTCTTACTCTAGAGTGCATGGATGAATCAGGAGATTTATGATTTAGTTCACCCAGATGATGCTGAAAAAATAAGAGATCAGCTTTCTGCTACTGAGTCCCCAGATGCTGGAAGAGTCTTGGACTTAAAAAGTAAGCTGTTTTAAAAACAACTAAAAACTGAAGTGGATTGTGTTATTTTGATATTATAATATTAGGAGCAGTGTTCTCACCAGGGTTTTCAACAGTCGGGACCAGAGGACCCGTATAGAAGCTAAAAGGGGTCATGAGGAAGAAACGCAGGTCACAAGTTTCAGATACATATAACTCAAAGTTTTACAGTTCTGAGTTCAGAGTAAATACCTCATACTTTCTTTAATAATGGATTTCCAATGTCCAATTTATTGTAAGGGAATGTATGTATTTGTATGTTTGTGTTCATGGATTGTAATAGGCTCTTTTTTCCTTTTGACCCCTTGGGCATCTCCTGAAATAGTGCGACACTGCCACAATTTCGTGGTCTGGCAAGAACACTGTTACGAGGCATACCGCAAGTCAATAAGAATATTTTGTTTCAGCCATCTAGTACTTATTGTTTAGCAAAATTCAGGCACTGTCTTGTCTCTCTCATGGCAGTGCAGATCTGTGTTTTAGTGTAAGTCCCATCAAGGTTTTGTGTTTGGCTACTGATTAGTTGATAATCTTTGGATTGTGGGCTCAATTTTTTTTTAAAATAATTTTTAGAGGTGAAGAGGTATTTAGTTCTCTGAGCAATTTTCTATTGTCTTTTATTTGAAAGCTTTTTGTTTCTTGTACATGTAAGCAGTTTTGTTCATGGTCTGACTACTTTATGTATTATACGGTGTTTAACAGCACAATAGACTGGTAATATTGAAGTTATTGTTTTCTTTTCCCTTGAAAGCTGGAAGTGTAAAAAAGGACAGCCATGGAGGTAAGAGTAAGTCTCAAAAAATGATATTTGTCCTTATGCATTATTGACTAAGTGCAAGGTTTTAAGCCATTTTTTTTAGGCCATTGTGCAGCCATCTTGACTGAAAAATCCTGGCCAAAACCAAACCCCATTGCAAAAATGGCTGCTTGATTAATATTCCTTTGTTTAAATTAAAATTAGCCTGACTAGCCTCGTTCTTCAGTGCAAAATTCAAAAGAATACATTATCTCAAGTGAGGCTAGTCAGGTTAATTTTAATTTGAACGAGACAATATTAATTCAGCAACCATTTTTGCATTGGGTCCAGTACACGGCAGGGCTGTTCTCTAGCAGTGCATGGTGGCCCCTGATGTCTTACTTTTGCTCTGGGGCCAACTAGGTTTTTTTTGTTTTCACATAAAAATCATATGCTGGGCACCCAGAAGTTCACAGGCTCAGAGCATTGGGCTTCATACAATTTGTAGAGTGCAATGTTGTATGTCCAACAAATACAATGGGAACATTGAAAGTAATCCTGAGCAAACATTGAGATCCAGGTAGCCAATCAGAACACAAAATTCACTTTAACTTACCTGCTCGCAAAGCCAGCCATGTAATACATTTAAAATAATGTTAGTTTTCTTGTCTTGAACACCTTGAAGGGGCAATGTCATGAAATAGGACACACCCAATGTAATATTAATTGCCACAATGGAACATTATTATAATGTTCCTGGTAAGATGACTTGGGTATCATAAAAAGATTCAAGAGCTGACCTATCAAGGATTAACCTTTTGTCAAAGTGTAGTTGTTTAAGCATTGCTGAACCCAGTTCAAAGACCCAAAATCTTTTTTTTAGTTGAATCAGTTCTGATAAAAAATAAAACAAAATAAAAACTTTGTATGTTAATCCTGCAGTGCCACTGAAAAAAAGTGGAATAATTATAATGTTTTGTGGATTCCTTTTGCTATTTAGCTCTATCCAGAATGTATTCCAACTCCAGAAGAAATTTTATCTGCCGCATGAGATGTGGTCAGGAAGAGGGTGAGACCACAACAAGAGGGAAGGACAATCGTCTAAAGCTTCTGGATGATGAATATGCCATTGTGCATTGCACTGGTTACATCAAGGTAACATTATTACAACCCCGTGACTCCCACGAATGTCCCAATCAATACTTCTTAAGAAGCCATCTCCTGTTGCAAGTTAGCAGTTTGCATTCTTATATCAACTGATAAAACTGTCAGGGTCCTCTTTATCAGGTGGTAACCAGTAAAATTTACCGCCTGAAGCAGTACTTCTTACCACCTGCAACCACTTGAAGGTTTACTAAAATTAAATAAGTACTTTTGAAAAATACGCAAGTTGTGGTCCAATTCGATTCTGTCAGGGAAATGAGTACTGTATTTCCTTGAGTAACAGCCGTCCCTCAATTAATCACCTCCCTTGAATAATTGCCTCCCTTTGATGGAAATATTTAAAATAATTGCTTCCCCCAGCCCCCTCAACATCTCCTCTTTCCTTTATCCTCTCCCTCTAAAGTTAAAAATTGTCAAACTCTTTTCATTCAATTGTTTATAATGACATTGAAAATTAATCAAGGAACCAAATTTGGAACACTTAAAAAGCCCATGTTCAGTTTACTTGATGTGATTATTTTCCAATTTACTGGGATAATGAAACATGAAATAATTGCCTTCCCGAAAGGTTTCCATTTTGAGGTCGCCTCGCACCATTGGAGTGCAACCCTGATTTTACTACAGTGGAATTCTGATTTTTCAAACCACCTTGGGAAAAGCAAATTGGCTTGAATCATCAAGAGGTTTGAAAAAACATGGCTAAAATTACTGTGTTTGACTGGTGAATGGAAGGTAGGCTTGGTTTGAATTATAAGGAATTTCAAAAAACAGAGAGTTTGAGAAATAGGGATTCTACTGTCAAAGTTAACTTTTGTTGTGGCTCACAACATTCTGTACATTGACAGAGTTTTGGAAATAACTCTGCTGTTGGTGGCCCCGGAGGTGATACTGATCCTAGTGAAGCAAGTTGTCTTGTAACTATCGGAAAACTTCAGCCAACAAGCGTTCCTCAGGCTAGTGACTTGGTCAGTTACCCACCTGTGACAGAGTTTGTCTCCAGACACAGCTTGGATGGAAAGTTTACATTTGTGGATCAGAGGTAGTTATGGGTTGAGTGTATAACGTAATAATACAGTTAAGGGCAGGGTGCAGAGAAAGATGTGTCTGATAGCTTGGGGCTAGTGGATTTTGCTATTGGGCTGGTGAATTCTGGTCTTAACTTGCCCAACAGCCAAATGAAGGTTTTTGGGGAATTAGAATTACAGAAGAACTGTAGTAAATCCTGCCTATCAAAAAAAATTTTTTTTCGGGCTTATTAAAATGATTCTTGGGCTTGTACATGCTAGCTACAGCTTGCCCGAATGACAAGCGTATTGACTTTCTTTGCACGCTAAAAGGGGCAAGTGGGCCAAAGATGGCCCACAATGCTGACTTGCTAGAGCTTATCCCTTTCTCTTTAGCAGTAAGTGCCTAGGAGTACTAGTTTTCTCCCCTTATTTGCATGTTAGTACCTTACGGGGCTATCCCCTGTATCATGCCACTGGTAACCAATTATATCCTGCTCTAAGGTCTTTTAAATTTGGCCAATCCTCGCTTAAAAAAATGTTTGCAGTTATCATTGAGAAGGCTGACTCAAGTATTATTTGTCTTTTTAAGTTAACACCTTACAAACAGATTTGGAGGCCTAAGAAACCCTGTGAGCCTTAGAGATTGTTTAAATAATTGCCTTCCTCTATCTTCTCCCAGCTTTAGTGTACATTGTATGTACATGTCGTAAAACTAATGGACACTGTACAACAAGCAACGTGGCATCACAAACACTACCTTGGTACCACTACACAAGAGTTCCTCCAGATAAATTTTGTGGATTCCTATCTTCAGTATCAGCTTTTCTTGAACTCTATTTTACATGAGTTTAGTTCAAAGAGATGACTTCAGTCCTGTGTTTGCAGTACTTGTACAGTGTCAGGGGCAAGCTTTGGTTTTGTCAGTTTGATAGAGTTAAACTGTAATAATAGCCGGTTTTTTTGTCTGTTATTAGAGTTACAGAGGTGTTGGGGTATAAACCTCAAGATCTACTCAATGAGCTCTGTTACGACTTCTTCCACCCTGATGATTTGGAACATATGATGGAAAGCTATCAGCAAGGTTTGTGCATATTTTCTACTGACAGTCATTGATATTTGCATGTATAACATTGAGAAAAGGTATAAAAAGGTAAGGTTGCAATCTTCCAAGAGTATAAATGGTAGCCAATAGCCTACCATGAGCCAATGGGCCTCACACCAGCAACAGTGTTGAAAAAATCCCAATAATATTAATAAATGCCCAGCAAGAGAAAAAAAAAATGAGGCAAGAAAAGCGAAAAAAGAAGGGAGGAGAGAAAGCGAAAAGTAAAAGTCAAGACTGCTGAGTCACTTTTAAACCCAAAAACTATGTGGAAATTTTGCTTTCTGCGCATGCCCGAACTTCCCAAGCTGATATTTTGCATCTGGATCAGAAGGCCGCCAAGTGTACGACCTGTAAACCGGTTTGTGGTAAGTTTTAGCTCTTTATAGCACGACAGTGACCAGAAAACCACTCGACTAGCTTCAAAACGCGTTTTTCGGCAAAATCTCCAGGAGCGAATGGGTTAAAATTACTGGTTTATGGGGAAATATTTTTCGGCTATTTTTTGAATCCTTCTTCTTGCTACAAATTATGAACTGAAGGACTTAGATAAGGGAGTTGACCAGAAAGGTGTGATGTTGAAGACTGTTTAATTGGCTGGATGGTTAATGTGATATTAATATTATTGCCCTTAAGTTCCAGGTGTGGTTGGGATCTTTAAGCCCCAAGATCCACATACAAATTCTGCAGACTGATTTCCATACATTTCTTTTAACAACAGTTAAGAGAATTTGGTGTAAGATCAAAGTATTCTCCCTTTGGTAATCAATTTAGTAATTCTCATAACCTTTACTCTTGATGATCTGCTGATGTTGTTAGGAGAAAATTGATTTGTGTAGAATTAATTGCCTTCTAGACTGCAAGCAATCTCTTATTTTCCTTCTAAGTCACAGTAGGTCAAGAGCATAATTGTGACCCTTCATGCGAAAAGGGGGCTTATGGATTTCACTAAAAACCGTGAATTTTTTTCACGGTCACGGTGCGTGAATTAGAGTTTTCACGGCGTGAATTTCAAATTCCACGCCCGTTCACTCCTTGCGAGAATTTTTCACTCTTGGCGTGAAACTGATCATGTTGCGAAAGATCATCAGTGTAAACTTTCACTCCGTGAAATTAAGAGTGAACACATTTTCACGCCGTGAAACATGTCGAGGGTGAATGAAATCTAACCTGTTTTTTTTTGTTTTGTGTTTTTTTCTCGCCCCTTTTCGAACTGGAAAAAAACGAGAATACCTGGTCACGTCAAGCTAAATTTGTGGAAGTTGATCCCACGCAAAAAATACTAGCTAGTAGCTCATGACAGAAATAAAAAAAAGCGTATTCAGACTATTCCGCGTTCAGGCCTGTAAAGCCACAAATCACAATCAAACTAGTCACAATTTCTTGTCGATATTTTTATGTGTTCATGGCAAGTATTTTATTAGATATGCACGATCGGAACTGCGTGTGTTTCATGTCAATTTGCATTGTTTACATTGTCTGTAACTGCAACAGTCGGTGACCTTTGCCTCCTTTTTTTTCTTCTCCTCAACGTGCAAATTTTCCCACTGTCGACGTCAGAGACGATTAGTTATTTACCAAACATGGCAAGGTTTTCACTCAAGAAACCTAACGAAATTCTTTGCGGAAAGACTAACTTTTACTGCCATTCCTAAAACCGGGATAATTGTCGTCTGTGTCGACGCGCATTGCAGTGAAGTGACTGATCTTATCTGCAGTTTTGTAGCCCCATCATCATCCATCACACGTGCAAACTCTACTTGATTTATCATGCTCCATTTCAAGTTCCTTGTCTCATTGCTAAATGTTATACTCAAAATTTCGACGTTACAACGATCTGAACAGAAGGGTAAAAATGAAATAAATCCAAAAGATATCACGCAACATCAAAACATGCGTTACATATTTCTTCATCTTGTCGCCACCGAGTCTAGCATTTGCATAACTTCGTGGAAGAGATAAAAGCTTCCAAATTCTTTTAAATTTTAAACGATACTTTGTAAATTTAGAGAATACAAAGACGGAATCATGCAGTTGTTGATTATCTTCGGCCATCTTCGGTGTCTTTTTTAAGCGATTTGATCTGTTTTGCCGAAAATCAAAAAGTACTGACCAGTACATGTTACATTCATCTGGGCAAATAAAGGCTTGCATGACATCTAAACAGTACACTTTTGAAAACAATGTTACATTAATTTTCATTTTGACTGTTGGAAGATTTTCACGGCGTGAAATTAAATTTCACGGTGACTGAAATTTTTCACGGCATAAAATATTTTCACGGCCATTATAAACTTTTTCACTGCGTGAAATTTTCACGGTAGCCGTGAATTTTTCACGGCGTGTTCACGGCGTGAAAGAGAAATTTCACTCACATTCCAAAAATTTTTCTTACTTTCACGGCCTGGATCGTGAAAATAGGCATAGCATGAAATTTAGATAAGCCCCCAAGTCGCGTGAAGGGTCACAATTTTACTTTGTCACTCACCACACGTGGCTCTGAGGAAAGAAGGACAACCGCTGGCAGTCTAACTGCCTTCTTATTTCTTATCTTATCTCTAAGCAAGCGAGACTTAATCCTTTTAAGAGCATTCTTGTTCATAGTTCAATTAGAGAAGAGCGTCTTTCCTTGGAGAAATAAATCTAGAAAGCATCATACTGAGTGCAGTCAGAGTGGTCAGATGTACCAATCAGCCAGTAGCAGTCTACATTGCTCATAAACATTATTACATCTAGCATCAGCTGTTAGAGTATAATAAAGACTGTACCATTGTAGGATGACAATAATTGCAGTTGAAATACTTCTGTTGGCATTACAGTGAAACCTGTTTTAAGTGAACCCCATGTTAAGCAGACTCCCTTCACTATTATGTGGACAAATGGCTCAGTATGTTTCAAATGGTTCTTCTCATATTTTAAGTAAAACAAACCTGTATTTAGTAGACACCATTATTAAGTGGACACTAACAAAGGTCCCTTGGGCGTCAGCCGCCTTACACAGTTTCACTGTATTGTTCAACTGACTGTCTTTGTCCGAGCAGTATGGAATGATTAGTTTTTTAAATCTAATCGTTGCAATTTTGAAAATTGGGTGCCTTAGCTCATATTACCTTTGAATTTTGTTTTCAGTGTAAACATTATAGTGTTTTTTGTTTCAGTGATGAAACTGAAGGGCCAAACACTGTCTGTGAGGTACAGATTCCGCGCCAAGGATGGGAACTGGGTGTGGCTTAGAACAAGCTGCCACAGCTTTCAGAATCCATACACTGATGAAGCTGAGTACATCGTTTGCTCAAACTGCATGGTACCAAGGTACGTGTCTTGAAAAATTTGGGGTGAAACACTTCACCAAATTTGTGGTTGAAAGTTGAGTGACACTTGTATTTTTGACTTAATGTATCCTAAGCGATCACTTACATGTAGGCCATGTATATATCCACAGTTAATGGCACAAAACATTAAAATTGCTGCCTTAAACATGTCAAAGGATAATAACAATTACTTCTCGAGGCCGAATGGGCTAGCTAGTGACTCAGAGGCCATGAGGGCGAGAGGAATAATTGTTTTAGTAAAATCCAACCAGTCGAGACAAAACATCTTAAGCTAGCAAAACACGATTCAGCCGCCATTGTTTTGGTTTTCAAAGCTGGTGCTTTTCGCTACTAGTGGGCTATAACGTATAGCCTAGTAGTAGCTCAACCAATCAGAAAGCTGCATTGATAATAGACCACTAGTTGGATTTTACTAATACTCATTATTTGAACCATCTTAACTAGGTACTTTCATAGCACATTGAAAAAGTTGCTGGAGTACAGAATCATCCCAAAAATGTTTTTCTCAGTACAAATGCACCCAACCATTGGATTCTGCAGTCTCCAACAAGTTTGCCAGTCATTGTTAGATAACATAAAAATAGCTAACCAGAAGTGGTTTTTCTCAACAGCTCTCTTACTGGCTTTCTCTATTTTAAATTTCGTTTTGTCTTTTGGTGAAGATGCCTGTGGATTTTTGCTATGTGCATTCTTCTCCTTTTGAGGACAACTTGAATTATTCTGTTCGCCAAGAGTACTGTTTTGATTATTTGCGGCATCACAGTAAAGCTATGTGCAAACGGACACAACAACTCCCAACAGTGTTGGGACCTGCAGTGCATAGTGGGAAGGATACACCTCATAAGACTTTCCAACATTGTTGCGCTACGCTTTGGCAATCACGGAACAAACGAAATGTTGGGAGTTGTTGGCTCAAAAATTTGACCACTTTCAAACTTTGTGCAACAACTCCCAACAACATGCAACAGGGTGTGTAAACCGATGTAACATGTAGCATCCAACAATTTTGGGAGTTGTTCGCCAACAATGTTGCATCTGTTTGCACGGTGCTTTAAGATGCTAAACATTAGGCTTCCAAGTTTTGAAGGCAATACTTACTTCCTTATTTTTCTAAATCTAGTAACAATAGCATGCAGCCAATCACCCTGAATCTATCGAGTCCCACAATGAACTCGTCTCGCAGTGGACCTCTGACTGGCAGTACAGATTACTCTGATATCTCACCGCACCCAGACTTGACAAATCCTGATTCCACAGCTGCCTCACTGTATCAGAGACACCCACAACTTATGGCTGGGCGAGAAGATGTCATGTGTCACTTCTCTCCTACTGGGGCAGTTCAAAAAGGTTAGAAAATGCTTTATGTTAAAAAGTCTTCTTCAAAGAATGGCGTCTGTGACTGTGGCTTTCACTTGATTGAGTATTCTCACATAGGATTTTATTTACAACTGTATGGGTCAAAACTGCTATGTATTATTAAGAGAGTCAGTCTATCGGCTTTTAGTAGGAGAGAAACCTTTATTTATTTTTATCAGGGTAGCCCATTCAGACACCTTAAGCACTGCTATCAATTGGGGCCCGGATAAAAATTAAAATGATAAAACTAATCAGGACTATAGAATACTAAGATATGTCTTCTAAAGGTAAAGGCTAAGAAAAAGTTAATCTTAAGATATGGACTATATACAGTTGCAGTGAATATAAAGCCACAACATTTTGCTTGTCTTTGTTTACGAGAAGGTAGGAACTTATTTTGCCACAAAATCATTCAGACAATTTTTTTCCAAAATTCAAGAAGAATACAAAATTATGTCACCATTGTGCTGAAACACACACAATGCTCTTACTATGTTCTATCAATTTATCCAAAATTTATTATTCAATTTCTTTGCAACTGATTTGGTAAATACTAAAACAACTCTCTCTCTCTGTCTGGGTAGTCGAACCTCTCTCGTACAGACACCGAAGGGACAGAGAAAAGTGTCCACATTAATGAGATGACTGTATTCTAGAGACTTCATCAAGACTCCAATGACAGTTTTAAGTGTTAGTAACAAAAAACAGGCCACATATGTGTCTTAACTGTGTCTAAACTGAAAAGAGCAAGAAAAAAGGCTAGTCTGTCAATGAAATGGTGCACTTTGTGAGCACCAGGGCCTGGAACTTCTCCTCCGTGCCTAAAAATTGCTTATTCTATATTTTGCAATAAAAGACTACATCTGATAATTTGGATTTTATTATTTATTTCTGTTTGTTTTAGTATCACCACGGATTGGAGAAGCAGGTTTGGAAGCCCTCTCTAAGGTATGAACCTCTCCAGTTTAATTTACAGCATTGCCAGTGTATGGTGTCAGTGATGCAAATTCCCTAAAGCAGGGTCCGAAATTAACTTTTTAATACGGGCGCCAACTGGCGATCAAGTATAAACTTTTGGTCGCCAGAGGGCAAATTGTGGTCGCCAAAAATCCCCCCTCCTTTTTTTTTCAAATAAAAGTTTAAACAAGAATTATGGTATGGATGTTTTTATGCTCAAAAATTGCACTACTTCTGCTCCCGATACCAGAAAGCAACCGTAAGTGTACGAGTGAAGTCTTATTTTTTCCACAAATTGCTTTTTGGAGATATAAAGCTATCTGGCCTAGAACGTAGGAACAGAAAGCTGTCTGCCCATGACTGCACTGATCATAATTATCAAAACTCTATTTTCTCCCGATAACTACCACGAAACACGAAACATAAACACGAGTCAAGCTGCCATGTTGCTCGTACCAGGCCACAACTGTGCCACATTACTCATACCAGTCCACAAAGTACATAATGTACTTACCGTATTTCAGCTGAAACCAACATGGCGGCTTGGAAACGTTCAACTCGTATTGATCGTAGCTGTTGTGGAGGTATTAGGGAACTTAAGATGGAGACGTTTTCGGGGCGACGGCGACCGGACTGGCAGAGAAAGCCTGGAACTAAGGCAGCCGTCGCTCCCCGTCAAAAATAGAACATTAAGATCGCAGTGAACTCAGAAGAAGGGCGCCTTTAATTAGAAGAATACCGAAGAGGAAAATATGGCTTCACATAAAGAATGAAGAGAATAAATATTTGCTATGCAGACAACATGTATCGGATGAAGAGTTTCTCGTTTTGAGGGAAAATTATGAGTCCAAAAATCCCGATTTTCCTCGGGACAGTTACGATCCGTCACGCTAAAAAACATGCGGGATGCAGCTGAGTTCAAGGCAGAATTTCGTGTTGAAAAAAAATGATCTCCACAGGCTTGCCGAAGCCTTGCAAATTACAGGGACATTAAAATGCTACCAAGGAACCGTATTATTAGTTTGGTATTGAAATAATTCCCGGGAAATACTTGCATGCAACAACAACAACAACGGCAACAACTTTATTTCAGTATTCCCACGCCGAGTTAGTACATGGTATTACCTACTATTCTATATAATTTTCAATGCGATTCATTTATATGATATTCTAACGAAAAGAGCGAACTAAAAACACACAATTGAAATATCGGAGTTCATATTTTTTGTCTGGATACTTTTATTTGGCTCGTGGGAAAATTTTGTCCCGTGTCAAGCTCACTTACGGTTGGCTGTTTGCCAAGTTGGATCTTGACCCTGTGACATGAAAACATAGAAACATTCAAAGATGTAAGTTTTGATAACAGAGCTTGGAAATCGAGCTTGAAATGTGCCTCAAAGAAAACAAGGACAATTTAAGAACGATAATCTGCAAAATGTTGGTTGCTAAACGCAACAAACCTGATTGAAATGAAAGTTAAATACTCACGTTTTTGCCACAACGCCAAACAGACCTGTCTCACGTCGCCGACGGGACCACGACGGCAAGGTGGTGAGCACCAGCATGCGCAATATCCAACAAATGATGATGTCACGTCCGGTTGAAGTTGCCGTCGCCCCGAAAACGTCTTTATCTTAAGTTCCCAATTATTACAGGAAGATTCGTTTCACTTTTAATTAAAAAATATCAGCAGGACAAAAAGTAAGACACCTGTTGGCAAATAGCTTCAAGGTTTCAATTCTTAATCAGTTCCTCGGAACGTTTAAGTCCACAATAACAACCAGCTTTACGAGTCGCTAGCTGGCGACCAGCTATGAAATTCTGGTCGCCAGGACTAAATTTTTAGTCGCATTGGCGACCAGGAAGGCGCAATTTCGGACCCTGTAAAGTGATGAACTGTCCTTAATACTGCCAGAAGGGCTGTCATTAAGATTTGAAGCAGCTGTAGCAAATGAAGTGTCCACTGTAAGGTCTCCCAAAAATTTATTGTGTGATCTTAAGCGTGAGGTGTTAGGGGTTATAGCCCCTATTAGAAAACTTAAGCAATGATGATGGCGATGGCAACAAGAAAGGTAAAAAAGCAATAGGGTCGGATTGGCAAAACAACAACTTTGCACGTGCATCATGCTTTTTTGCACATTTCTTAGCCATCATTGCATGACTACAATGCCTAGTTTCACATTTTGTCGAGGACAGGAACACAATACAACAATGCAGTCCTTTGGATTTAAACTCCAAAAAATTTTTCCAACATTTGGGAAATTAAATGAGATGACATAAGTGGGATAAATTTTGGGTGAATTTACTTCTTAAGTGAAGTTTTTGTTGCTTTTAAAAGCTGCCTTAATGACAGCTCTGGCTGGTGCCCACTTCTGGAGAACTTTTCCCATTAAAGAGACTGTACCATGGAGTATGACTTTCCCTTAATGATTTGAGAATCAAAAAATAGGCTTTTCTTTGACAATTTTCACCTACAGAAACACAAGGTCTTAATTGATCATACCCCTCAAAAGTAACTGCCACCACTTCAGGAAATTAGGAAGTTATCAACAATTACTTGTATACTCTGGTCACTTTAAACCATCTGCCTCTCGCAAGCAAGCAGTTTTAAATACTCACTTTTGATTTCTGGAGTATTTCTGATTAATGTCATGTGCTTTTAGGCCAGTGAGCTCAGTGACAAGAGAGGAAACGCTTCACCAAACACTTCAGTCACTCAAGTACCACAAAAACCTGACCCCACCCTTGTGAGTCCAGTTCCTCCCGGCAGTGGCACTGCTACACAAAGACTAGGAACAGGAATGCTTCAACACAGCATGGACCAAAATAGTGGTAATAACGGACAATAATTTTGTGCGTGTGTGTAGATTTTTTTTTCTGTGAAGACTTAATAAGTCTACTTTTTATCGTCATGTGGTTTACCGAGATGACCTATCAGAGGTAATGCCGTTATTCTTTTTTTCATTAAAGCTGAGTTACAGAATGTTTGAATTAGTTCCGTCAGGGTAACTTTGAAAAATTAAACAAGCATTCCTTGTACTAATTTATGCATTTCCTCAATCCAATATGCAGTTCCCAAAAGTTTCCAATTTGGATTCTGTTAGGTTTTAACTTCATACACTTGTACAGGGAATCACACTTAAGAAACCTCCTTCTGATCTTAAAATATCTGTAAAATGGGTTAGACAATATCTGTTGATGATTGTTATTAATTATAATGCTGCAAAATAATTTGTTAAAACAAAAACTTTCTTTGTTTTCAGTCGACCTGGATAATCAAGAGTTTTCAGCTGGCCAGGCAGGTAGCCTTCTAGCAGCTTTGGTGCAACGACGACAAGCAATGATAAATGCTGCTCATAGTCAGTCTCCACAAGGAGGCTACAGCCTAATGAATGGTGGAATGGGCTCCATGTTACAAGCTGGCATGCCCGGCCAGCAGCGTCCCATGGGTCCTATGACCCCCATGGACCTGCTGAGAGCACAGATGCCACGCACCATGGGGGAGATTAGCTCCAGTGGAATGATGGGCTACACTACCACTATAACGACAAGAAATGGTCAGACTGGAGGTAATGCCTCAGTGGTTGCTACCCAGAGTATGGGAGGTCGAGATATGATGCCAGGTGCTTGGCCTCACCAGGGTGTCATGCAGAGGCCTGTCAGAGATGCTGAGATAAAAGCACCACAAACGTCAACACTTCCTTCCCAAGTAGAATCAACAGCCCCACCAGGAATGTACAGTGGCATGAGACCAGGCACAGGACCAGCAAGCGGGCGAGGGCCAGCACAAGGCTTTCCTAGTTATTACCAGTAGCACTGACAGAACATTCTTTATACCGAGCATTGTTTGGTATTTCAAACATAGAGATCCATTGTAACAACAGGACTTAACTTCTGGAAAGTTTGTACATCTATACGGGGGTGAAACGTCAGAAATCTGGGCTGTAAAATGCAGCTGACGTCTTCTGTGAAGGGTTTTGTCCCAAGCAGAAGGAAAGCTCTAACAAACAAACGTTGCATTACTATAGAACATTAATGTTCCTGTATCGTATACATGAGAATCCTTGTAATGTAACTAATGTTATTACACCATCAGGTTTTTAGCCGTGATACGGTGTTCTCTGTAATCATTGGTGTGTTTTAATACAGGTGAGGTCATTATTGATAAGAACTTCAGGTAGGGTAGGTCGTGTCTTCTTTCCCTTGTAAATTACCAGCAATGTGAAAATCCTGAGAAACTCACTTGGTGCATTTTGCAGCACTGGTAGCAGATTTGTGATGACTTATTTCTGATGTCCATTCAAGGTCTGTTTTTTTCTTGTAGTACAATGATCTACCATTGGTGGTTTTTTTCTTATGCATGCCTTAGATAGTCATAGGGGGTTAGAGCATATGTAGCAGATTTTTACTGATTTGTCTCTAGTTTTCTCTTTGGTCCTCTTTGTTGCCTCACATGAACAATCAATGTACTGGTGGTAATTGTTGTTGTTTTTAATGGTTAGAGAGGCTATTGTCCAGTGCTGTAACTACTGCCCAAACAGTGCAAAATCATGCTTCCTAAGAGGGTTTTGGTTTGAGACTGGCACCAGACAAAGTTAGTGATTCTAAAATGTGTTTCAAATTTAAAAGGCAGGTGGTCTTCAGGGCTTCAGGACTAAAAAGTGAAACTTTTTGAAACAGGTTATTGAGATGTTGTGGAGACAATTGTAGAGACAATCCATCTTTAATCCATCCTAGAAAGTCACTAACTGGCTGTGGTTTTGCAGCAACCTTAACTTATAACAGTTTCCACATTGGAAAATTCAGCAAGTTTTTCTTTATGTCATGGGTCCTTTTATGAGTTTTGCATCTTTGCATTGGAGAAGGACAGGAAACAATTACGATTATTTAGAATGGTTTTATCATGGGATAAAACTGACTACTTTAGTTTTCCAGATACTTGCAAAGTTGGGGTAAGAAGTGAAAACAAAGTAGTGAAAAATATGATCTTTGAAAATAAATATTTTGCTTACTTATTTACTTACGAAAGCCTTTGCACGTATTAGTACTTAGGGAATACTCGATGATGCATGGATGTATTATATAAGACACTCTATATCCTTTGTTTGTGATTTACAAACGTCTGTGGGGGAAGGTTAGACATGCTCAACTTATTTTTTATGGCAAAATATCTTCAAAAAGAAAGAAAAACGTTCGTGCTGTTACATAAATCATTTTAGAAAAAGGTACCATACTAAAGAAACCTACATACTATTGCAAAACTAATAATTACCCTTGAATGATCTTCAGTAAGATGCTCACAGGTTACTACAATTGTGAAAATAAAGCTTCTATAGTGGTCTTCAATATACCAAGGGACATATATAGCTGTTTCCAAATAGAATTTTTAATTTTCCCTGTTATGTTAACTTTGGTATAATTTTTATCATTTGTATTTGTACACTCCTTTACAGCCACTGTTTCCCTTCTTTAGCTATAAATCATCGGTTGTTGGCAGAGAGGATTTGTCTTTGTGGCAAGGAAACAGATAAGCTACCATAGAAACTGAAAAGTTACTGCACCATAAATCATCCAGGAAACTTATGGGACATAATTTCGTATTGCACAGGCTAGAATGTTTGTTATCCCAGAGGTACTGTGTTTTAGCTTTTAATTAGGTACATGTAGATAAATGGTGGTGTAATAACTTAAATAAAGCATTTGATGATCAAGCCTTGTGAGTATTAATGTCATGAGTTAAAGTAGGTTGGACGGGGGTTTCTTTTTTGATCTTGTAGCATTGACTAAGACTTGGGAACAAAAGGATTTTAATGCTGAAATCTTGAGTTAAACAGTGTTTCACAAAAGTTAGCAAGTTTTAAATAACAGGGCCTTTGTAGCTTACAGTCACCTATTAAACATGCTTATTGCAAAATGTCAGCAGCAGAATAGCTTCCTCCATGGGCAACCCCAGCTTGTCTTCTAATATTTTATATACACTTTGCTCTTTCTTTTAAGTCCCAATAGTGACCAGCATGAAGCTTCTCCTAACAATATCACTGCCATATCAAATTAATGTAAAGGTGAAGGGAATGACTGGAATGATCAACATTGATAAAATGTCCTGATGTTTGAACAAATTCTCTCAAACAGTAAAATAAGAATCATATGGAGAACAGCAAGGAGAATATATATGTTAATATTGGGGCTTAAAGGGTGAAAATGAGTCTTGAGGCATAAAAAAAGAGTACGTTTCACTTCTGAAATTACAGCTCTCCTAAAAAACCTTCCTCTGAAATGAGCCTGGGTACCTCTCTGGGATAGCCTGCGAGCAAGCTCTCTATTTGGGGAGTTGCGAGAAGTCATGCGAGAGCAGCATACAAAGGAAGACATGAGTGAGAGGGGCAGCTTTGGGACTCACTTGTGCGTTCTCTCACAGCTCGCTACATTCACCATAAATGGAGAGCTTGCTTGCAGGCTACTCTGGGAGGACCCAGACTTGTACCCAGTCGCTATTTAAGTGTTTTTTGAGATGAGAGAAGATTGAGGATTAGGTTGAGGTGCGCGCGGGGTGCGCGGGGTCTCATGGGTCCCATGAGACCCCGCACGCGCCTCAACCTAATCCCCAATCTTCTCTCATCCCAAAAAACACTTAAATAGCGACTGGGTACGAGTCTGGGGAGGACCTATTTGAAGTCAGGTTATCTTAACAGATCCACAAAATAGATAATGGGGCTGCCCCTTTTAGAGATCCAGGTACTGTGAACTTGTACTGTGAGTAGGTGAGCTAGAGTATGGATATAATACTCTCAAACCAAAGCATTAAATTTGACAACTGGTATATTTTTAGAATGCAAAAATTAACAATAAAATTATTCTCTTTTACAAGACAAGACAAGACATTTATTATTGTAACATTACAAAAGGAAAATAATTTACACTGCTTAACAACTTGCCATATGAAAAATAGTTTGACTTGAGATTTAAAAAAAGACTTTTCCTGTCTAATCTTATATAATATATTAAACATAACATTGCTTTCATTTAGGCATACACAACTAGTGCATTAATGGGAATTGTTTAAAAGTCACAAGTAATAGTACCAGGAATGTCAACATTAATTTGTAAAAGTTCAAGTCAGGTCCTCAAAAAAATTCGCTGTAACCAAAGAATTATCAATGACCAAGATAAAAAAAATTATTCTCACCAAAAACTTATATATATACAGTGTATTTCATGCCTGGGTTTCTTATGGGCATATTAATTCAGTACCAGTTACTATAATAAAAAGCATTATCATTCGAAGCAAATTTTTCTTTCTTTTCATTGGCTGATAGCCCACCACATGACCTGCAAATAACTGCCTACAAATAATGGTCTGCTCATGCGCAATGCCGTTCAACTGTGTTTGGCTGCGAATAATAATAATTCTGCACATGCGAAAAGGGAAACCATACTTTTCTCCTTCTTGCGATCGCTCTTGCGTGAAAATGGCAGATGGCTTCCCTTCCCGAGGATATTCATTGAAAAAACAAACTCGGTGCTTGAATGATAAAACAATTATTGAACTCGGTTATCGCAAAATATCATGATTTGACAGTATCTCGCAGATCAATTATTTGCCTCGGCCTTTGGCTTCGGTTATTGATCTACTCGCCACAAACAAATCACAATATTTTGCTCAACCTCGTCCAATAATTGTTAATTATTTTGTAATAATAATTTTATGTTGCTTATAGCTTATAGTATTATTATGTTTCATCTTTTTATTTGGGAAACATTGTAGGCATCCTCAGGGACCCAGGGGCGGTCAGTTGGGTTGAGAAAAACGGCCTCACCAACCCTACTGAATGCCCCAAGGTGTCTGAGGATGCATTTCCAGTTTCCCTTTTGAAGAAAGAAGATGTCTCCATAATTTTGTTTTTCCACTATCTTGAATATTTATAAAATATTAGGCCAAAGTCAAACAAAGAAAACTGCCAACATCTAAAATACATGTCTCTCTTGAATGTTACTGTGTTACCAGGAAAAAGTGCACCACTCAGAGCAAGACAGTGGTTTATGATTGTCTTGGATCTCCAAAGTCAGTGCAGTCACAAAATAAAAATTATGCAAAAAGTTCTCAAAATATTTCATCTTTTCATAGTTAGACAGTGACAAAATTTCATGGGCCTGACCAAGGATAAACGTTAAAGCAAAACAATTGAAGCTCTTATATAATATGGTTCTATCATGGTTTCCGACCCGTAAGTTGTTACAATCTTATCAGGAGTCTTCCTAAACAATATAGCCTTTTTCAATTAATGATAAATTTCAACATCTGTGTGTCATTCAAGATATAATGTTGCTTGTATCATCAGTGGTTGTCTTGATTGCCTCAATTTACTTTCTCATCTTTTCTAAACTGTTGTGAAGTGTCAGGGGTTGTGAAAAGTTTAAATATCCAGAAACCCTGATTATAGAGTTAAGGAGGAGTTCACATTAAACTTACAAAGAATTAATGGATATAATAACTAGCAAGTAAAACACTTCAAATTCCAAAGATGATCAGGCATGATGTCATGTACTAACCTTGTATGTGAAAAATTGAAAATATTATAAAGTGTACAAGAGGCGCTGCAGTTTCCATTAGCTGTGACTTGGAGCAGATGCAAGTTAATGAGGCCCTGAGGCCCTCTTTGGGGGGTATGTATTGCCCTAGTCTGAATTTCAAATACGGCCATTTTGCATTCTGAGGCCATGTCCCTGCCGATATTTTCTGAACACAGTTTTGCAGTTGGTCTGCGGTAACTCACATGATGGTGCGTGTTTTAAATTAGACAAACATGGCGGCAAAAAAGCAATGGTACACAGAAGAAGATTTCTCAAAATCTTTGCCTGTGTGCAGACGTCTCCAATTACACCTCACAGTAGTTTAAATCTTTTTAAAAACATGTGTGAAAGATCATGGAGATAACTCCAGCCGATTGCTAGAAAGAAGGATTTGATTGGTGTGTATTGAGGCGCTCTTGTTAGCAGTTTTGTAAATATTTCGGGAAGGGGAGGGAAGGGAGGCTTAATAGAGGATTTATGGTGTTTCTCACCATAAAAACTTCATCCCAAAATATCTCGATAACGCTCTTACAGATTTTGCTTAAACTTCATGAACATCGAGGTGGCTATTGCAGGAAAAAGATCCCGTGAACAATTTTGGAAGAACGGTTCCCAGTGCCGGGAAATACTGCTGCAAGTTAAATAGGTAATGGCGTCATTTCGTTTCTATGACAACTCCGATGTGATTGCAACCCTGATCATCACAAATTGTCATCTTTATATAATACGTATACTGTGTGGCAATTTTTCCAAATCTTTGTTTATGGCGACGTAGCTTATGCTCAAACTTGGGAGGTGTTGACCCTGAAAAACTGTATTGAGCCACCTTAACTCAATCGTTCAGGCAAAACCCTGCTGACAGACTCACACAAAATTATATTCCCTGTTTAGGACAGAGAGGTAAAAACCCATACCCTGTCCAGCAGCACATTCCCATATAGGCTATATAACGGAGTACAAAGGCAAATTTCCCTCCGTAGATAAGCCCCTCAAAAAGGGCCTTTGCAAAATATAAGCCCAAAGGCTTATTTTCGGAATTATTTATTTAATTAAGGGTTGAAAAATACGCTTAATTTAATATTAGGATACAAAGGCTGCTACATGAAGGCAAACCATGAAACAGACTCCGTAAATGATAAGAGTTGGGTATTGTTCTCCTGATGATGAAGTCATATCTACAGGGCCTGCAGAGTTGAAAATAAAATTAATAAATAGAAAAATATGAAACTCTCAGGGTGTAAGGTGTTGAATCTGACATTCAGTGTGAAATGTGGATCGGTGAGGTCTGTCGCACAAGTACAGTAGACAAGAATACCCGTAGTGCGACAACCAAGTGGAAAAAAAATAAAGTTTTATTTACCTGAGCTTAGTAAAATTGTGTTTGCAAGACCTTTTCCGCCACAATAAAATTCTTCCAGATTGTCACAATTCCACTCGTCCCGTCACACATTCCAACAAATAAGCCGAGGTTTTACGTGAGAGACTGTGAACGAACTTTTCTCAGCTCTTGTATGATTGGTCGATTGGTCACGAAATTTGCGTATTTCTGAAGAAATAGTACATATAATTTTATTGGTCAAAATCTTATTTCGTCATGAATGATGTCATGAATAATTTTATGGTCTTTAGCACGATATTTCAACCGCTTTGATTGGCTTAATTGAATCGGACGAAGCTTCCTTCTGATTGGTCAGAAAATTAGTAACCGTTCGGTAATGCGCAAGAAGCCTTACGGCGCATGACGAGTGCTTGCGTTTGCGCCTGGGAGAGGAGGGATCAGTACAAAATTTGACCGAGTCGTTGTGATTTTCAAGACAGGTTCCACCGCATTTTGTGTTTTATGGAGTGCACACACCTGGGACAAGCCGTGAAAGTCGGTTCGCCGCTTATCGAGAAGATACGGCGTGAAAAAGCCACACAGTGGACTTGTTCAAGTACGCTTTGAACTAAGAGGGGCGATAAGCGACCCTTTCCCCTTATTTTGGTCTTTTGGTTTTTGTCCACTGCCGGTATTTTATTACATGCGACAAATCCTGTTTCATTCTCTCTCATTTAGCTTGTAGATCAACGAAAAGTCCGTGGATCTGTCTACGTTGTGGTGTTATAAATTGTGGAAGGTAATACATACCGAAATCAGTGTCACCATTTCTGTTCGGGGGGTGTTGAGATGGAGGAATGCCGCGTTGCTTGGTTCTCATGTGAATTTAAAGCGAATTTTAAGCGAACTATTTTGTTTAGAAGTGAATTTCCAAATTTTGCATTCCAGGTACGTGAATGGACATGCCAAGACACATTATGAGGAAAATCGGCAGCACTCGGTCTGTTTAGATGCAAGTTTGACAGCCTTTTGGTGAGTCTATGCTGATCACTAAAAGCTTTTAGGATATTCATAGCTTCCGTTTACTTTTTGTATCACATGTATCTGGAACATTTTGTCACTTTTCCACAGCTATGCTTGTGACGATTTTGTTATCAACGATACCAGATCAGGGGATATCCAGAGAGTACGAGAAATCATGCTGGAACGGGAAAATAGGTGAGATAACTTGGGACTTCACGGCTGAAAATTACCGCTGAAATGAGGCCTTTGCAACCGACAGCTACGTCACTATTGTTTTGCATTCCAATTATTTTTACCAATTGTAAGTGTTTATTGTGAATGTTAATTTCCTCCCCAAAAAACTATTTCTTGTACAGTGGCTTTGTTTGATGTAAAAACGAGGCAGGTTTGTTTAGAGTGGTTTTGTTTATTTCTTGCCATCCGCCATTTTGTTTTATTCCCAAGAATCATAGCGACGCACGTGTTCTTTTCATTTCGTCATGTTTTGAGTGACTGTTCTTTTTTTAGTTAGTTAATCATTAGTTTCAGTAAGCCTTTTCATAAGGAAAATAGCCTTTGTTTTGAGAATCAACAAACATGCATGGAATTTAATTATCATTTGCTTCAGAATCCCATGAAAATCTGAGGTCCAGAGGGATGGGGGGGGCGGTTACATAGTTGGGTTAATTTTTGCTGGGTATGTGCCACTGGCCTCTCAGAACACCTACCCCATTATAGGGCTATACTGTGGCCAAATATAGACTCCATCTTAGCCACGTTTGGGAAGATGTCATTTTCGCGATCCCAACTTGGACACAATTTTCTGTTTACACGTCTACCTTAAAAAGCCTTTTAATGACAGTCAAACCTCCCATAAGCGACCACGGAAAATGCAGAGGCTTGGTGGTCGCTTACTGGAGGTGGTAGCTTACGAGAGTCGCACTACAAGGGCGAAATTTTTAAGTCAACCTAGAATGGAGTTGTATACTTATTCTAAAAAAAATAATGAAAGTTTACTTCCCCCGTCCAGTAACTGGAACTTTTACTGACAAAATCGTTAGTTATTGTATGTGACAGTTCATTTACAGAAGTGCACTTTTAATTATTAGATAACGCGTTGTGATAAATTTGTGGTTGAAAAAATTTACTTGACATGTACAACTTCTTGTACCGCAATGTCCCTAAAACGTCTGAAGAACAAAAACTTAACTTCTCAGGGCTCAAAGTTTAAATTTGAGTTTGGGAGCACTTGTGCTACCAGATGTAAATTTTTAGGCGCACTGCCGAAATTTTGGGTGCACAGCTGAAAATTTTAGGACCACAGCTTATAATGTTGGGAGCATCTATTTCAAAAGAAAAAGTAAAAAGCATATATTTGCATGTGTCAGCGGTGTTTATTACAAAACAGAAGAGTCTGGGATGGAGTAAAACATCGAAACGAAAAAGAACATTCGAGGTCATAGAATCCATTGGGAGAAAAGACCAATTAAACATACACCGCCTTTCTAGTTCGAGTTCATAAGTATAGTCGGAAGTAAGTCAGTTGCACTGTGCTTTGGGTTTTTACGGCGCACAGGTGTGATTACACATGAATTTTTAGGCGCACAACCAAAAATCCAGTCACATATGCGACCAGTTAGTCGCTAACTTTGAGCCCTGCTTCTTAAACTGAAACCTGAAAATCTGAGTCCTTTTCTCAAGGGTAATGGTTATTATTGTAGTTATAGATCGAACAAATAAACACAGTAATAGATGTATAGACAATAACAACAGCCAAAGAATAAATTCATTTTTGTCCATTTTTACAATCTACTTTACTTTTTAGTGAGACCATGTGTCAGGTGGTCGTTTACCGGAGGTTGAAAACAATATAAACTTCTGTCCACTGAAAAAGTGGTCACGGTCGCTTGCAGGAGGTGGTTGTTTATGAGAGGTTACAGTATAAGGCTTTGACTGAGAACCTTTTGGGTGTTTTGGAAAGGTGGTCGCTTATGGGAGGTGGTCGCCTTACGGGAGGTGGTCGCACGTGGAGGGTCAACTGTAGGTCATCCTGAAATGAATTGACACATTGGTTAAACTTAATTTAGTACAAATCTTCCCATTTTTAAATCCCTACCTAGCAGAATTTTCTGATGCCCCAAATACCAAATGCTGAAAATGTGAGATCCCTTTCAAGTAACTCTAATGAAAATGTAACTGTAACCCCATTATAGTCAATCCTGCCATGAAAATACAACCCCATCCAGCAGTGCCTCCCCATTAACCTACTACTAGGAACACCCCCCAAGATCTGGAGCAAAATTGTCTTAAAGGTGTTGCAACCAATGAATGATGAGTGCTGAATTTTAGAATTTTTTTATCGTTATAAACTATCCATACCTTAGAGATGATAGCAATAAGTAAAACCAACTCTATATAAAGACAGGGACTTAGCTGAAGTCTTTGTTCAATATTGGTCACTATGGAAAAAAGTGCCAGGGTGAAAAGTGCCCACATAAACAGGGGGAGCGCCACTCACAACATTTTGTACAGAGAGGTTTGGCCACAAGGTTCAACCCCTTACCCTTTTACAGGGTTGTCACTAAGATTTCAAGTTGCCGGGTAAACAGAACAAGTAGGCGGGGAATCAAACGGCTAGGGATTTCTTTTGGTTCTATTTTTGTTCTATTTTCCAATAAAAGTAGCCGGGGACCACTCTCTTAGTAGCCGGGGAAAATCCCTAGCCCCCGGCTCTTAATGACAACCCTGCTTTTATGTACCATTCTGATGGAAAAGGTATCCCTTAAGTATACATCCCATTGAAAAATGGTGCCCCTTTTACATACCTACTTGCATACCTAACAGCAGCTGGGTTGTCAAAAGTAGCCGGCTGCCAGTTAGAATCGGTGGCTACTCTGCTTGGCATTTCTTTATAGATGGCCTTTTTTAAATAACATATCCCTGGACTGGTCGCTTACTTTGACAACTCAGCTGTCTACTTCAAAACTTTCTGACAACCTGGTAACAGTCAGTGTAAAACGCAGACTGTGGACTATTGTTTCTACCTTGCAAATGAGAACGTGACAACAATAGTCCCATTGTTTTCTAACCCTAAAAACAATAGTCCACAGTCTGCATTTTACGCTGCCCCAATACCCAATAAATCGCTAAAATAAATAGTTACCTACCTGTAGTAATCAGAGTAAATTCAACCAATTTGGAGAGTTCTTTGGTCTGAAAGATAGCAGACCTCATATAATAGCTACGTGTATCTTTAAGCAGACTTTTGGTTCTGCCCCTTCGGTGTCCTTACAGTTCACTCTCAGTTGTACATCTTTACATTACTCTGAATACTCACTATTACATAATATCTGTCTGTGAAAATTTTGTTCTTTGTAAAACAGATGTTGTTTGCAATTGCAGGAAACGACGTTTACGAGATACGAGTTCTCCAGAGTCGCAAAAGAAAACTTCAAAAGCAGATGTGAGTTTGATAGCAATAATTATTGTGCATCCGTTTCCTCTTTATGTATCAATCACGTACTTTAGTGCAACTTCTCCAGTCACACAGTCATATTTATTACTTGAAGTGAAATTGTAACAATTTATCCTCATATTATTGTAACATGGTTTTCAGCAAGAGAATATCGGGAGGGTGAAGTATTTGCCTGGTCTTCGTAACCTTGGAAACACATGCTTTATGAATGCAGTCTTACAGTCTTTGAGGTAAGCTGTGTTGGCATTTTGTTCTGGAGTGGTCCAATATGTACCTGATTGAAAAAATGTTGTTGCTTAAAAAGTATAAATTAACCATGAATGATGAGGCTTCAAGCATTTATTGGTTTATGTTCAGTAGCAAAGGAAATTCTAAGGTCTTTCAAACAAAGTTTACATTGTCACAAGCTGCTTGTGCAAATACAAATCCTTAGAGTACTTTGTTTAAGGCTTGTGGTTGTCTTTTTGTCTCCCAAGAAAGCTTTTAAGTGTGTGTCAACTATATTGTTGTTTAACTGTGGAGATCTCTGATGTGCCTTGCACAGGTTAAGGTGGGAGCATACCACCAAGAAACTTTTTTTGGAATGCATCATCACGAAAAGTTTCGACAAAGTAAACTTTCCTGGAAAGAACTGTTAAGCGACGTTTTTTGATTAGGTGTATATGTTGTGGTTCAATTTTATCCTTGGTTCAAATTTTCTTTTGTTTTGTTTTTGGGTATGGTAATGTATGATAATAACATGCTAATGAGTTTGAAACAAAAGAAAAGAAAATTTGAACCAAGGATAAAATTGAACCACAACATATACACAGGCTTGTTTTGTGGCTACTACATTTAACCCATTCATACATGAACTGTACATAACCACCCATGTGGAACCACCTCCCTTGTACTCTTGTATAGTCACAGACAACTTTGCAGAGGGCATTAGTGAGATCCTTCAAACCATAAATGAAATAAAAAAATGAGCACAGTCATGTAAACCATGTAAAGTTGACCTGTCCAGAAAATTCTGATGAAAATCCTGTTCCACTACCCATGGCCACCTTTACTTTGTTAAAAATAATCTCGTGATACTGGGGTAAAAAAAAATACAGGTGAAGAAAAGAAAAAGAAGCAGGAATGAGAGATAGTTAAAGGTGAAAGTCAAGGGGCAGTAACACTTTAAAACCATAATAATCTCAACATTTTGCCATGTGTGCATGCCAAACTTTGGAAGCTGTGATCAAGGATCGTAAACAGAAGCCCCCTCTATACCGCAATTTTGGTTCCAGTTTGGCTACATAGTGAGCAGAAAATGGCACAACTAGCTCCAAACTGTGTGGTGTTTTTCTTTTCTTTGCAAAGGGAGAATGGACTAAAATAGACATTAAAAGATACTGATCTCTCTTTTATGTCTTTGAAAAATTCAATTGAATTGTCTTTCTGACTTCCCAACTTGAGCCAGACAAAAAGCTTGCACTTTCCATTATTAAACATTGTGTTCTTGATTAACAGTAATATCCAGTCATTTAGCTGCTACTTCAAGGATCTCCCAGCATTTGAGCTGCACCCAGATAATTCATGTGGAAAACAGCCATATTTCACAAGAAGCAGGAAAACAGACGAAGTGTAAGAAAAAGCTCATAGCATTTTCTTTGTCTTCTATTAATATTTATATTAAGTCAAATTACACAATGATAGTCAGTTTTTACAGTAATTTGAAAAAGCTCATAGCGTCATTTTCCCCCAAAACGTTTTTTGTTCTTCTAAAACAATATTTATATTAAGTCAAATTACACAATGATAGTTATTCTCTAGTAATAGTTCATTGCAGTCATTCTAGCAGGCTGTTGACTGGATAACAAGGCTGGGTCAACAATTTTCATTATTTTCCCTATTTTTGGTCATACCATGTAATAACAGAGTAATGCACCTATCAATGTAAACCCCGTGGGGGGGGAGTGCCGGCAAGGGGTGGGGATTTGACAAATTTTAAAATTTTTTGATCAAATTCCTCAGGGTTGGAAACGAAAGGTCAATCAAAAGTGTCAAAAAGCCCCCACCCCAGGGGAAAAATCTAAACAAACAATACTATAATACTATATAAAATAAATGAAAGAACATTTCAAAAGTACGTTCTTACTACTTTTATTTAAGGTTAACGTAAGCTTCGTTAAATTACTCGCTCTAATTAAGTATTTTCTCTCTCCACTAGCATCTCTTATTTTGAACAACATAATCACTCCAGGAAGATTGAGCGTGCTATTACATTAATGAAACGTAAAATGCTTTATAACATCGGCTCAACATGTCGGAACAGGTCGGATCAGTGACCTGTAAAAAATCCTCTGACTTTCATGGTAGAATTCGATTTCAATAGAACTTGAAGATAAGAACTTTCTCAAAATAGACATTATCTGTTTAGATGACAGTGTACATGTAAAGTATCGGATTATGGCAGTTAAAACAAACGAAAACTTCATAACTTTCTCCAACAGCGTGACTTTCAGAAAGTCTCGAGGGATGGACTTGGTTACCGCTTCTGAATTGATACCAGGCTTCTATCGGTCAAAGTCAAATGTCCCGACCCCGGGGTCGCTTCGCACGATCAAAAGCCCGACGTGGGGATAGTCTCAGGCATCAAATCCCCTCCCCTTGCCCGCACTCCCCCCCACGGGATTTACATTGATAGGTGCATAACAGGTACAGGCTGTAGCAACTCTGATAGAACCATCTCTCTTTTGTGGTCAGGCAGCTGCAATCATAGCAAAATCATTTCAAAATTGTGACAGATTGCCTTTACAACTCATTTTCATAAAAAGTGTTTTGAGGCAAAAGTTGGGGGCGTTTTAAGACTGATTTCTGAGGCAACCATGTTTACATTCGCCGCAGATCCATTGTGGAGGAGTTGCGTAAAGTGTTGTGTGCTCTCTGGCATGGCAGAGGGGTGACCCACTCTCCTGATGCACTCTTTTCAGTTGTATGGAAAGTAGTTCCTAGATTCAGGTATGTTCAAGCTGCTTGAGCTATAGGCCTTTAAGTAATAGCTATAACAAAATTTTCTAATCTAATTGCCTATCAGCGTCCCTCAGCATTAATAGGACAGTACAAGTCATGTCTAAGTAGTTTGACAGTACTGCCTCTGCACACTCAGATGAATGATTTTTTTGCTTCTATGAAAAAACTCTTGGGATATCTTGTGTTTTGATTTTAAAAATGAAAAAATTTAATTGGTAACACAACATTGAGTCATCCAATTGAGTCTACCACTGATTTTGTTACCTCTGCATTGGGCATCCCTGATGCATGAAAATCCCCAAAGATGCACAAAAGTTTATGGCATGCATCCTGTAGGACACAAAGATCGATTGACTGATCGATCTGAAGATGTTTTTGTAGAGTATGCTGTTTGTGTGATTTCTGTGGCTGTTTTTGTGGTTGTTGTTTAATGAGGCATATTTTTTTAGGCTTTGTTGTGCTTTACAAAAGAATATCTTTTATCTGTGTGGTCACATGAAGGCCCAAGCATTTTCAATTTAGGACTTTCAATTGTCTTTTGAACTGGGACTCATGATTTGTTCACAAGATGAGTCCTAGGACTCACTGTAACTATTTGTAACAAAATCACTGGTCTATTTAACAAGTAAATGCCATGTTGTCATGTGTCTGTTCAGTAATAGATCACAGATGGTGTCAAAAAGTGCTTAGAACAAAGAAGTGGCACACAAGCCTCAGTGTGTCACTGATGTTCTTACCCCCTTTGATGGCCTAACAAACTCACCTCATAATGTTTGACTGTGTGCACTTGCTCAAAGAAGAAAAATCATGAAAACATTTTCAAAACTGCGAGTCTCTTGTAGCGATGTTGCATGATGGCAACTTTTGTGAAGATTTCGTCCAGTTTAGACATTTTCAAATCATCAAGAAAGCTTTTTGTCTTGGTTCCTGCACTCTTATTCTTTGTAAATAGCTCCTGCTAAACTTTTTTTGCAGCCCTCACTCCAAAATATTCTAGCAAAGAATTTCAAAACTGCTTGCCACATTGAACAAACAGAGAAAACAAGTGTCCCGTGACATCATCCTTGTTTTTGTACTCTAACAAATCATAGGCAATGACTAATCAAAGCACGCGTGATAGTCACCACATTATATGAAATCACATACTGGTGATCAAACAAATCGGATGACCGCATTTTTGTCAATACCACTGAATTGGACTCCACTCAGTCCCATTACCAAGATTTATAAACTTAAGTTGATTTACTGGTACTGATTCATCAAACTGGAGCGGTTTTTAAATGGTTGTATCTGTTCAACCTTTTTACTACTAACAGAGGTTATCAGCAGCAAGATGCCCATGAATTCATGCACTATCTCTTGGATAGAGTACACACAGAACTTCTTCTTTCTCCCAAATGTTATGGTTCTACGGAGACCATTATAACAGGCATATTTGGTGGGATCCTGCTCAGTGAGGTATGCAAGGTGTAAAAATAATTATTTAAATAAAGTCCAGAATCTGGGAAATGAAAGGAGGTACATATACAAAGACCCTCGCCAAGATTCAGGTCAGAGGAATATTTCGTATACGAGGTATCTGAAGAAATGTTTTACCCAGACTTATAGAGATTTGTATGGAGACACCATGTTGGTGCTCACCTGGATGAGCTCCAACATGGTGGACGAAAACCAACAGAAACATCTGTTACCAAGTTTTGCTACAAAAGTTTAGATACTCATAAACATTAAAGTAATACTTTTTCTAATACATGAACTGTTTAGATAGGAAAATTTCCTGAAGTAAGTCATTTTTTTAAACCTACATGACAGCTCTCTTGGCCATCATGTAAATGCCGTGTCACGCAAAGGCTTAGAAATTCAAGCGTACTCTATCACTAAACCAAGAACCCTTTTGAAGAGAAAATTTGTATGAAAATTAGTTTTCAGCTGCTCTAATGCATCTGGAGAGGTTTATCTATTGCAAAGTATTTATTTTTTAAAAGGACATAGTAACGTTTATTATTGTGCTTCACTTTTTGCTGGGACCATAGATGAGCCTCTTGGTTTCATTAATTTAATTAATTAACTTTTTCTGGTACAGTTTCCAACGAAGCTGTTAAGATACATTTAAGAGCTAGGTTTTTACATTGTTTAGATGCGACTAAATTTTAGTCGCATCTAAACCCCCCCCCCCCATGCCTGCAAATTTACCCTCTGTAGATGATGACATTTTACTGTTTTTTCTTGTCTTTTCCATGACATACATAACTTTTATTTGATTCCACACTTTCTGTTATACTTGACAACAAGTTTCCTTTGACAAGCAAAAACTTAATCATCTCAAGTAGGCCTTAAATCAAGAACTGGAACAAAATATTCACCTCATTCCCTGTTTTCGGTGGCTTCAAACCTCAAAAACGTTTCTGTGTAATCAAAAAATTGCTGGAAAAGTATCAAACACTGATAGTGCATGGTGTATGTTTTTTTTTTGTTCATTGATTTGCATTGCAGGTAAAGTGCTTAGTGTGTGGAACTGAGTCCAAAAAATATGACCCATTTCTAGGTAAGTTGCACATAATACATGCATCTGAAATCTTGCTACAATACCTGTATAATTTTGTTTAGCACAATCTACAGAATAATTGATCTGATCAACTCAAGAAGTGGAATTAAAACTTTTTTTAATTAGGTGATGGTGTTATCAGGGCTGTCATTATTAAGAGGCAGTGCCGGGGATTTCCCCTGGTTACTATAAACATGGCCCGTGGCTACTTTCAAAGGAAAATAGAAGAAAAATAGAACCAAAAGAAACCCCTAGCTGTTTGATTCCCTGCCTACTTGTCGTATTTACCTGGCAACTTGAAATCTTAGTGACAACCCTGGTGTTATCCACAGATCTGTCACTGGAGATTCCTGCAGAATTCCAGTACAGAAAATCCAAGTCAAGAGACCCACAGGTGTGCCAACTTCAAGGTAAGTCTTTCATTACTCATTTCCCTCCTAGACCAGGTTATACTGGGATGATTTGTCAACCTTTCCGTATGTCATTTTGACATTTGGATTTTTTTGGGTGGAAGGGGTGAAGTGGGGGAGACAATTTAACTGACGATTTGGCCTCTATCGGGAGAGAAAGGGTTCATTGTTTTAATTTTTTAAGGTCTTTATACCAATGTTTAGCCTATTTTTTCAATTTTCTTTTCCATTATTTAATAGCTTTTTTTCTAGAAACCAATACAAAACTTGTTGGTACACATGAATTAAGCTTAATTGGAGCTTTGATTTTGTATTTCTGTCTGAAAAATGTTGAGTTTATTGCGTCAAATCCTCTTCATGGAACAGACACATATTCATTGTCATGTTTAAAAAGGTCAACAAATGATAATATTATTGTTAGCTATAAACTATTTACAAAGAAAACTAGTTTCTGTTATGTTATCCTTGTGACTACTCTTGTTCAATGAGGACTGATTTCAATGTGTGTGGCAATCAGTACACTGTTCAGAATTTCGTGTATGTTGCACACCTCAAATTTTGAAACAACTTTTGGTTAACAATAATTGAGTATTATTCATGTACATGGGTAAATTAATACAGTTAGTGCTATGTTGTTTATTGCAGATTGCCTGGATCATTTTGTATCACTAGAGGAACTAGCAGAATCTGAACTGTATATTTGTCCAAACTGTAAGAAAAGACAAAAGTCTACCAAGAAGTTCTGGCTGAAAAGACTACCAAATGTGAGAAAACAAATTTAACTTAATCTTTTTTCCTAAGCAGTTTGATGTTTTCCAACAGATCAGTCATTAATTAAGTGATATAAGAATACAGCCAAACAAGAGATGCTACGATTATCAGTTGAGTTGAGTGTCATACTTAACCGATAATCATGTAGTAAAGAAGATATATATAAAACTATATTTTTAACCAACATAAGTGATGTTTTGTTATTGTTAATGATGATTACCAAAAAAAAATCTGGTATATAAAAATTATGGCAAGTGAAATAATTGGTGAAACAGCATTTTGCACTTACATTACACCAGAACCCCACTAACTGAACAGGAAGAGATTCTGTTGTTACCATGTGCTTACTGTGGATGCCAGACCACATATCGCTTGCACATGCATTAATTACTGCCAGAATGAATGGTTTCGTGACGACTGTAAAATTTCATGAAATGATCATGTCGCGATCACTGCTTCTGTTTATTTCTTGTCTTGTTACATTCAAATCTGTCCAAAGTGGAAGTTGCCAGGGAAAAATGCAGTCTTTAGTGACTTGCAATTTTTCCCAATAAGGTTGCTCCATTTTGTCGCAGAAGTACAGTGTATTACAAAGACGTGTTCCAAAACTCATTTTTATGTGTATATTTTGAGGCATGTTTTTCTTTTCTCTATGTAGGTTTTGTGTCTGCATCTAAAGCGCTTTAAATTCCAAGCGTTTCACCGCAGTAAAGTTGATACATACGTTGAGTTTCCTGTCCATGGACTAGACATGAGTCCTTACTGTATGCAAAGTCAGGTAAAGAACACTTAAATGTATCTTCTCAGTTGAGTTACTATTCATCAGAGTACTGTTCACTTTTCTTATATATCTCCTGGGCTCAGTACCTGAAGGCGCAATTAGTTCTAATGCAGGATTAAAATTTTACTTCCAAGATTGCCTTTACCTTGCGAAAAATTGGTTACAGAATCAGTTAGGTGGTGTTATAACTCGATCCCAGAAAAATGGCTTACAATATTTTATTAGCACCAGTTGCATGGGAACTTTACTTAAAATTAGCTTAACTTTGGGTTAAACTTAACCATCTTTCAAGGAACTGGGTTCAGGACAGTTTGTTTGTTCATAGTATAAGTTTTGGCAGACTTTGGATTATTTTTGTTTCATTCCTATTATTGAGGACAGAGTGAAAATTCAAACAAGTTTTCAAGTCCGATCTTTATGTCAAAACAAAAAATTGTGGCCCAAGAGGTTTCATTGAATAGTGGCACCATGAAATTTCATCCATATTTTCAAAGCTAGAATTACAAGATGTTCCTTCTCCATAATATTGACTGTGTAACACAGTTAAGACCAGAAATGTATTTGGAATCTCATTTTGTGCAGTGGAAGAATCCTTGGAATCAGGTGTGAAATGTGTTTATGATAATTTGTGTGTCCTGATCTCTGTTGTAACTGGACAGAAAACAGTGAACTTTCCTGAAATATTTCCAGTGTTAACAATCTCCTTCTTTTGACAGTAATTGGGTATCGTTTGGTACAGGCTCTGCTGAAGAATGTCTACCTTTTATTTTAATCATCAGCATTATCATTATTATTATTATTATTAGGATGAGAACCCGAAGGCATTTCTATTTGATCTGGCGGCTGTTGTCGTTCATCATGGAAGTGGGTAAGTGTTTTTCATGTAAAGATGAGTTTTTTTATATATTTCTTTCTATTTATTTACTTTTTTGCTGATTACCTTGTTGATTAATACCTTTGATTCTTTTTAAGAATTGGCAAGAAACATGCTAATGCTGTAAACAAAACTTATTCACACCCATGACTGAGCACGTAAACGGGAAGCTTAGAAATACCCAGCAAAAGGAAAATTAAAGGAGGGAGTGACAGAGATGGAAAGAAGAGAAAAAAAATAGGCTTTTATTATCCTAGCATTTTTTTTTTCAAGTGTTTTAATGAGGCAAAAGCATTAAGCGTTGTTCGAACTGTTTAGTGGCATTTTCCCGGATTTTTTTTTCAGACATGATAAAAATGAAAAAAAAAATCAAGAGAACACTTAATGAAAACTTTTATAAATACAGCCATTTAGAGAAAAATCTGCTGCTGTTTTGAATCTCATAACTTGTGTACGTTGTTGTTATTTCCCTTACAGCTATACAATTTTGTTAACGTTTAAACGCTGTTAAAATGTTTTCAGCAGAAGTCATAATAAAGCCTCTGTAAGAAAAGCATGATCCAAGCATTTTAGTGAGTTTTTGTGGGACAAGGAGCATTGAGTGGGATAAATGGCACGCTATCAATACAATACAATGCAATACAATGTTCTTTATTTTGAGAGGGTAGATACATGATTAACCCAGTAAAGAGTTTTCTAACACATGGCCCTCTGTAATGGATATCGTGGGGAAACAAAGCGATTATGTACAAAAGCCTATTCAAGTGCATACAATTTTGCGCTCAGAAAATTGTAATTTTTCCACGTGGAAAATTTTGTTTTTGTTTTTGCTTTTTTTCGCAAGATAATGACCAGAAAAGATCTTGACTAGTTTCAAAGAGTGTTTCTCAGTAAAATCTCCAGTGTGGATGGGTTAATCCTGGAATAGTTAAGGTTCACTTTAGTAATAGTAATAACAATAATTGTTTTGATTTACAGGGTGAGTGCTGGTCACTACACAACATTTGCTTTTCATGATGGTAAGTACAGTCGACTACCGATAATTCGAACCTTCAAGTTCGAGTTATCGAGGGTAAAATTATATGGAAAATGTTCTAAAGGGAAATAAAAATTGCTTCAAGTTAGCGGGAGGTTCGAGTTATAGAGCGTTCTAGTTACCGGGAGTCGACTGTAACAACACTGTTTAATCTTCCTAGACATTTTGTAAGGAATGATACAAGCAATCAGTTTGAAGATTTTTCTATTTTTCACGCCTCAAATGCGGCGCTTATTTGAGGGCGGCGTTTATTTGAAAATGGGACGCGACAAAGAATTGTATTAACTGCGACATTATTTTTTCCGTATTGAACTAATAGAACGAACGTCTTCTGATTTGAATTATATCGGGGCCATGGTAGACTGCGAGCAGTCTTCTCCCTTTTTCGTCAGATTTAGTGCGGGAAGTGCACGCGCGCCGCGAGACGCAAGAAATGAGAGTGGCAGCCTGCCCGTCTCGTGCCTACAGTCACGCGCGTGTTCATTTTCATGTCACTCGCATCTCGCTCGACGGACTAAGAAAAAAGAGAGACTGCTCATAGTCTTGGGCTGTGGCGCCTAGTAACTTTTTTTTTCTCTCAAATGTGGCGCTTAATCGGGGACGGTGCTTATTTGAGTTAATACGGAACTTATTTCCTTGTTAATTTTGTTCTCAGGTCTTTGGTACAATTTCAATGACAGTTCAGTGACACAGTCAGACGAGGATCATGTTAGTCGCAGCAAGGGATACATTTTCTTCTACACTCGCCGGCATCCCAACATGGCCATCCTTGACAAGATTAGAAAATAAATTCTCATTCTCATAAAAACAGTTACTCAAAATAATTTTAATGAAATTTATGATATTACTTATCCTAACCCCTTGAAAGTAGTACAGCTTACTTGGTACTTGAGCGAAAAATTTAATTTGAATGGGAGTTGTTTAATTTTTAAGAATGATGTCAAGAATTTGACTGGTCATAATTTGACTGGCTCTAGTTGTTCAACATTAGCAGCACGGCCTATCCAAGATTTATGTCAGTCAAGCCTTTACTTTTACACCGCAAATTTAAAATGGTAATTTGAAACCAGTCAGAGGCAAATGTATCCATATGGGTTATATATAGCAAAGGTTTAGGAATGTTTATACACAGACAGCATGTTTGTATTCTTGGTTGCAAACTGCAACTTAGGGAAGTGGTCTAAACAATACTGCAGTCGATGTCATGAGGACCCACCTTGACTAGGGATAGTGGGGCTGTACAGGGCGCAACCTATCTGATGAGCCTGATAGTACACATGAAGCTTGCCTCCTCAGACAAACTGCACTGGGGCAATGAAATGTTAGACTTCAGGCTCCGGTTGTTCAAACGTTGGATAGCGCTCTCCACCGGGGCCGGGTTGTTCGAAGCTGGGTTAAAATAACCGAGGGTTAGTGCGAAATTTGAACTCAAATATGAGAGCTTAAAAAGCAAGTTTAGTTTAATTCTCTTTGCCTACAATTTGATGATTGGATACCCTAAAAAGAATAAAGAAAATTATCCGAGAAAGTGCTTTTGATAGCAAGAAAAAGAAACCCGGGTTAAAATTTAACCTCAGGTTAGTGCTAACCGGCGTTCGAACAACTGGGCCCGGATAAATCGCTATCCCCTGGATAGCGCTATCCACCTTTTGAACAACTGGGCCCAATCTGTTAATATCAGGGAGTGGGTTATGCAAATGAGAAACCATCTTTTTATGGCAGAGAAGGGGGTACCTATGGACACTACTAGCCTTGCAGTCAGGAGCGGTGTTCCGAGTTTGCACTATAGTTTTGGCCATTTCCGTTACTCACAGTTAAAGCCAACACTGAGGATTAGGAAATCACAAAAGAAAAGCCGCCCCCCCCCCCCCTTCCAGCGCAATATTCATCTCCAAGAAGGTAATTGTGTTTTTGAGGGGCTGGCGGCAAAAGATAACCCAGTAGTTATTATTAGGCCAATTGCTCCCCTGGGATCTTTGATTCACAAAAGATTTTTGCTCGGGTTACGACTTGTTAGAAAATGTAATGGGAAAATGTTCCGTGTTATACAATCGCCTCCTGACAGGTGACTCATCGTACAGGCTGCAGACCAGCGGTGGAAGTTCTCTTGCTCATCACTCTTTTGGTCAGCCTGCGAGCAGGCTTACTTGTGCGAGTTTGTGGAAAATTTTGGCGGAGTGACCCGTAAAGCCGGCCAGAAGAATGGGGAGAGGAAAAGTGCCCTCGCGCTGTCGGCTCCGCCGTTAAAGTTTTCCCCGAACTCGTACAAGAAAGGTTAGGGTTAGTTAGCCTGCTGGTAGGCTATTTTCTGGTCTGCTTGACTAAATCCAAAGGAAATTGCGGGACAACTCCAGGTCTGAATGCAAAATTAATTTGACTGAAATCTTGGATTTAGCCTTTAAGTCTAGTTTTCTTTAATATTACTGACTGCTGTCTTCGTGCTTTGTCACCTTACTTCGGATTATGAGAGAAAAAATTCCATTGGGACTGATGATATTCTTTTGTAAATTTATTTTTTTTTATTTTGGTTGTTTAATATTTCTATAAAAGTCTGTTCTCTGATTGTTTGCCTTGCCTGGACTAAAGTGAACTGCAAGCATTGTGCATGTTACAGTTTGATTGTAAGCAGGTTACAATTTCAGTGCGTGCACTATTGATAGTCCTTACAAAATGTAGTCATATCTGTTGTATTCTCTTCAATTAACCTCTTTATCGTTCTCCTGACAAGTATTTTATGCCGAATAACTAGCTTTAAACTGTTCTTTTAAAGCCCTTAAAGGGAGATTTGTGTCACGTTGTTAGCTCTATTGTACATAGTCAAATTAAACTTGTATGGTTGCTGTAAAAATGGTAGGTAAAACGTGAAGTCGTCATTGTCTCTGTAAATAAGAATAAAATGCACTTTTTGGATGGATCGTGTGAAGATGTTGACTTCGTAGCACTTAACAATTGTTAGACGAGCTTGAGCAAAATATCGTTATTTGCCAGTGGCTAGACTTTCTCGAAGTCCTTCGCTTCTGATTTCCGGTTCCGGTAGATGGCCCCAGCTCGCGACGACACACACGACAGGGACGCAAATAGTTCGCGCCTAACTGACGTCACTTGAAGCGATTTCTTGCAGGTCACGTGGTGGACAAGCAGGCTAGCTCCCGGCCAATGAAAAGCAGAAAAATTTTCGTCGAATGATAATTGTTGTTTATTACAAACAAAAAGCGCCTAGAGGGAAACAGATTTTAATTGGTGTTAATAAACGTTTACTGGATGAGGTATTTGTAAGTGTTAGCTCGGCTGATCACACTTACCTCAACATTGATAATTCTTGTAATTGTGTCAATAACAAAATGCTTGAATATGATTGGTTCTTAACAGCCTATATTTATAATGGTAGTAGGACTTAGTGGAGTCCAATTCGGTCTTTAAACATACGAGTGATAAACAAAATTCGTGCTCGTCCGATTTGTTTAATCACGAGTATCGTTACAGACCGAATTGGACGACACGAAGTCCTGTTACCAATTAATCATAACCGTTACAATTTCCGAGAAAATAAATGCATTCTTTTTTAGTGAAAGAGCTTTTAATACCTAATGTCCAAAATCGGCGGAGACACTGTCTAATGTTACAAATTCGTCCATTTTGGGAAATCCCCAGTTTGTTAGGGTAAGTGGTTGTTGCTATGGTTATTGTGATAAGTAATGGTAACAGGACTGAGTGGAGTCCAATTCGGTCTGTAATCATACGACTGATTAACAAAATCGGACGACCGCGTAGCGGGAGTCCGATTTGTTTAATCACGAGTGTGATTACAGACCGAATTGGACGACACGAAGTTCTGTTACCAATTAATCATAACTTTAACAAAATTTGTAATATAATAGGCTATTTTTTAAATCAAAACACAAGAAATTTGAGATTTTGTTTTGCTAGCAGTGAAAAAAAAAGCTATTTAAGCGCGCGCGTGATGGCGCGTACTGTCCAATTACTTAGGCATGACGCGTACTGTCCTATTAAACTGTCCAATTAAGGCTGAAATCAGGGCAGTTGAGAACTAATCAGATTTGACAATTTTGTTATAGTTATGATTACGTTTGTGATTGGCTAACGTAACTGTCCGATTACAGCCAACTATCCGATTACAACCCTGTACACGATAATTAGTGAAAAATAAAGCAGTTAATGCAGCAATAAGATTTGAGGAAATTGTAATGGTTATGATTAAAAGCTTTATTAAGCTATTGTAACTCCAAAACTATCCGATTACCAGGAGCTTGTAATCGGACAGATAAAGAACCAATGAAAATCAAGTATCAAATGCCACAATGAAATTTAACTACATAGCACATGATAACCTATCAAAATCAACGAAAAAATAGTGACCAGTTAAGCTGTCCAGCTTCAACTGGAAAAGAAAAATGAATGAAACCAGGAGGAAACTAACTGCTCCGGTGACTTTTATTAACATTATTAAATATTCCAAGATTGAGATTCTCGCATAACTCGGGCACTGCTTTTATTATTCCGGATCAATCTCGTCCCTAGAGCCTCCGTGACTTTTGTCCAGCGGATGGGACAACGGACGTTATATGAGGTACCTACCACGTTAGTCATTCCCGTCGCTGTTCAAAAGGATCGCGACCTTCGAGAGCGAGATTGATTCCGGATATCACAAAATCCTTATCCAATAATTGTTCAATATTACAAGAAAAAAAAGAAAAATCTAATAATTGTTTTATTACACAACTGAACCTCAATTAATCGGCCGCCTATTAAGCGGCTAGTAATCAAAGTCCCGGAAGAAATGTACCATAGCATTGTACGTTCGACCTTTTAAATTGATCGATTATCTCGCTACCTTTTGGCCATCCCGAGGAGAGTTTTCCCATTGTTGTTACCTCGTCTATTTAGCGGTTATCAAACGCTTGATAGACTTTGTTTGGTTTTATTGTAAAATGATGAAGAAAAATTCAGTCCAAAAGAGAAGGTAAAGCCCGGGAGGTAAAGACTGTTTTTGGACTGTGTTTGTATCAAAAAATATCCATGTTCCTGCTAAAGTTATGCTAATTTATGCAGAACCTCTATTGAGTGGCCAAACTCCATTAAGCTGCCATTTGCCGGTACCTTGAGCGTGGCCGCTTAATGGAGGTATAACTGTACACTGTTTTGAAGATTTAAACAACAAAAACACCTTCGCTCGGAACACAGTAGGGGTTTTTAGGGAGTTTTAGCATCGACGACGGCGACAGCAGCGAAAACGTCACCTTTAAAACGTCTAGCGTTTTTTCAAACTTTGTCGCGTTTATCCCAATTCGCTGAAAATGTCTAATGTAGGCAAATTTCCCTGGAGTTGATTTCTTGGGGACCGCACTCAAGTTTAGAAACAGAAAGAAAATTTCGTTGAAGCTTGTTTATCAACCTCGTCCCCAGGGCAAGGGCAAAGCTCTGGGGACGAGGTTGCTTTTGAACTCCTTTTGCAGAAATGTTGCAAGACAAGTTGCATGTTTTTATCGCTCGTTTTTCCGTACCTAAAAAGAAATAGTCCGCCATTTTTCCAGCTGCTTCAGAAAGAGGAGCTCGAGCTACCGCGCAGGGTCTGGAGATGACTCTACGCAGCCTATGAAAATGATTATAACCGTGTTTCAACCAAAAAGCGGTCTATTATGAGAACTTCAACCAAATCAGCCAAAACCGGTTTCAGTTGAAACGGTTGATTCCAAAAGGTCATAGCCTAAGAAAACAGCCCACATTTCGCGACACCACCACTCGTTTTCCAGCAAAATGACGTCTGAGAAACGACCTGCCAGATCGGTGTAGTGCTTCGGATTGGCTGAAAATTTGCCTCGACCAATCAAAAGCACTATACCCAGATCTGGGTTGTGACTCGTCATCAGTATGAAACTTCTGCACTCGTTTTTCAGACCTCATTTCGCAAGAAACCAGTGGTTGCGTCGAGAAATGTCGGCTGTTTTCTGGGGCTAAACAGAACACGACTGAACAGTCACTAGGCTTTCATTTCTCGGCCTTCATAGCAATCAGAGGAGTCATACGACGAACAGGAATTAGTAAAATCCAACTAGTGGTCTATTATCAATGCTGCGTTCTAATTGGTTGAGCTACTACTGGGCTATATGTTATAGCCCACTAGTAGCGAAAGCGTCGGCTTTTTGGCAAAAAAAAGGATTAAAGTCTAGCTTTAACCAGCTTAACTTGTTTTGTCTCCATGTTTTTGACCAGCTACTTGGATTTTACTAAAACAATTATTCCTCTCGCCCTCATGGCCTCTGAGTCAATAGCCCATTTGGCCTTCGGCCTCATGGGCTATTGACTCAGAGCTCATTCGGGCTCGAGGAATAATTGTTAAATGATCACCAAATTCAAGGTCTCAACTGAAAAGCAATTAAATTCTCCGCACCAGTACCATAGGCAATAATGGAGAATAGTGCGGAGAATGTGAATGGTTCAATAGGTGTTTAACACCTTTCAATCTGGCAAAATAAAAATGAATTTTCAATTTTAGTGGAATATTGGTAGCTGGTTCAATAGGTGTTAAAATTGAAGTGTATTGTTAGAAAAGAAAAATTATAAAGTTACACTTTTTATGGTGTAAAACACTACACAGAAATTATGGTGTAGTGATACTCGTTATTTTGAGTATTTTTACACCACGTTTAGGCTGAAACTATAGGTATTTTTAACATTTAGTTACAGAGTAAATGTATACCACAGCGGAGGTAATTATGCACTCACATGTGCACTTATACGTTTATAGAATAAAACACCCACTCTCTTTTTTTAAAAAAATAATATCGAAACAAAAAAATCTTCATCGCGTGAATAAGTTATCTGAGCCGCTAGTTGTACATGTAGCAGGTATATACTTCAGCTGCAGTCTAAGGTCTCATTTCAGATATATCGTACGAAATTCACGCAACTGCATTTGTATACATGTGTAAATTGAAAGGTGTTTTAGCTAAATTAATGAAATGACCTAAACCGCTAACGATGCATTACTATCTTTCCTGAGAAATGTAACACTATGTTTCTTTCTTCTTCTTCTTTTCTTTTATTTTTTTCTTCATTGTCCATTGTCTTCGTACTATCGATTTAATTCAGACCATGTTCCTTTTCCGCGTGTTCTCGAAGAGGAAATTTACAGCAACATGAATTACGTGACTGAATCAAAAGCCGCAGCAGATCCAAAGATCACGTATAGTCCGTCACCAGGAGCTTAAGTGACAGGGCGCGAATTTTCGTGCAATCAGGATCGATGATGTTGCCGATAAAGACACTTGAATACCGTTTGTATTCATCTTTTGTTCCAACCGTCCTCCACGAAGGTTGTACTTTGTTTTGAAGCAAAGTCTTCATTGATTTCAAGTTAACAAGGATGTGTTGTTAGAGCAAAGGATGATGGAGGCTCCAAATGACTGCTAAGAAGAGAGCAAAAACCATGCATTCAAACATGTTCAAAGATTACGACGGCGCATTTCGCATTTCGAACACCTTTCAATCTGGCAAAATAAAAATGTTACCAGCTATGATTAATTAGAAAACAATCGTATAACTTATTTATTTTAGTGGAATATTGGTAGCTATAGAAACAGAAGATTAAAGTACATGTGTATAAACATGCTTTGTTTAGCATAAACTTGTTTGTTTGCTTTGTTTTTCGCTCCTTGAAACGTCTTTAAGGTTGGTGTAAATTGTCCACCTCATCATAACCGCAGTGTCGCGCATCTCGCAAAGTATTTAATTTTCAGACTCGAAGCGTCCTATACAAGGGAAAACCTGAATTTCCATGGAAAAAAAAGTTCTCGAAACGCTTGATGGAGTTGTTTTTCCCAAGTCAATAATTCCGCAACCTGACAATATTTCGAATTAAAAGATCCGGAACTAACACCCA